TCTGCAAAATTGAATTGGCCTAAAATGGTTTCAGTAGTTCAACTTATGAAAAAAATCCTTAGAGTGTGATAATAATACCTGGCCTGACGACTATAAATGCCAGCAGTTTACTAATCAGTCAGTAACGGGTGGGTAGTGGCGGATCCAGACCTAATCTGGGGGCGGGGGGGGGAGCGGTTATCCAGACCCTGAGATAAGGGGGGCGGTCTCAAAATAATTTTTTTCGGTCCTTCAGGCCTCAGTTTGGTCTAAAAATAAGGTGGGGATCCGGGCCTCCAGTGTCCCTACCCCCTGGATCCGCAAATGGTGGGAACAGGTTTGTTGAACAGAAATTCGTGTCTTCTCGCAACCTTCACAAAACAACTTCGTCCTTTAGGTGATATTCAGATGTAAGCAAGTTTTTTTTATCTCGTAAATGAGGTTTTGTTTTCGGTAGAAGCGACTCATGTCCAGTCTCTTAATAATCCGCCATGTCAAGTCATGGCCACTCTGCTGTAAGACAAAGACTTCGTGACTAAATATGGCAGGTGTGGTAAATCAGTAAGACCCTATGTTCTCGAACTAAAAAGCGACTAATCAGTGTGGGGGGAGCTCTTCATCGTTCTTGAAGATAGCGTTTTAACTGCGTATTTTCGTACTAAACATCTCCTCTGGTTATATACTTTATCTTTGCAGAAAAGAAGAGTGATCAGGTTTTTTTCCTGGGTAGCACGCCACTGTTGTTGCAGGCCTAAAACAAAGGAGTGAATTCTAAAACCTATTCAATAAGTTTCATTTTTTCTATATATTTTATTATTGTGATTGACTGAGAATTTTATAAAGGCTGGTTTTCATCTGGCGACGGAGTCGGAGTCGGAGTCGTAATCAGAAGCGTAGAGCTTATAATCTACTGAAAACAGCGTTTCCATTCCGCTTACGACTCCGTCGCTTACGTTCCGCTTATGATCTAGCGAAAACCAGTTTGTCGGAGTAGGAAGCAGAGGCCAAAAAAATAAACCAATCACAATGCGTGGGAAAGTGCATTGTGATTGGTTTATCCTTCCGCCTCTGCTTCCGACTCCGATCACCAGATCATAAGCGGAACCTAAAGGACGGAGTCGTAAACGGACAAAAAATGGAAACGTTCTGATTCTTCTAAATCCGATTTCGTCGCGCTTACGACTCCGATTTTAGATTTTCACAAGGTCATAAGTGCTTTTACGACTCTGCTTTGAATACGACTCCGACAAAACAAAAAACCAAAAACAAAAATTAAAAAAAAGCAAATAATGGTAGAATTGAAAAAAAAAATAGTTCAGCAGCTTTTTCTTTTTGGCATTTTCTTATTTTTCATAATATTTTCCTACACTCTGACAAAATAAGGCAGTCAAATTTAGACAAACTGTCACTCCAACTGTTGCTAAAGTGCTTCAACTGCTTGCAATGGCCTTGCAATGGACAAAGGAAAATACTGACGCAGGGCGCTCTGGGAGCGGATCCTTTGGATTGTAATGGGCAGGATGTATTTTGGTAAGGCTACAAATGGTTGCTGTTACCTACTGTTCTCACAGACTTACACTACTTTTTCTTCTATAAGGGTCTTTAAAAGCTAGATAAACCCATCAGTTATAATGCTGATCTACCTTCCTGGTGTATCCCTTTGGAGAACTGTCCTGAGCGCGGTTTTTTAGGCAACAGATTTATTCAAGCATTTTCGACTTGCCATCACATTTGCACCGGCAGTTTGCCATTGGGGATAATTAGAAGAATAAGACGATTGTCATCTTTATCCCCAAGTGGCAAACTTCCTGTGCGAATTGATGGCAACTTTCGGGGGGTTGCTTGGGTTGATTTTTGCTGGGTTTGTATCGCTGGCCTCTCAGAACTGTCGGTTGTGTAGCGCGCGTAGCATGGCGGTTTTATCACTGCCCCCACCTTGGCGCCCGACCAAAACCCCCTGCTTAGAAGTGCGAAACCAGTGGTAACATCGCCAAATGTCGGTTGTTTTCTCAAGCTTTTTAGAAGTGTATTTATAATATACCGCATCAAATGTTTGACCTTCTTCCCGTAGTATACAGTTTTACGAAACCCTACATAGCTACCTTTTTTCACCCATTTTATGCAAAACGACGTGAAAAAACCTTTTTGTTTTTCTTCCACGCCTACCAAGTAGCCAGCTGTTTTTCAATTCGTTCGCTCAAAAATTAATTACTAATCCCTATCTTTTTTTATAATTACCTTTTCAGGTTGGCAGTATTGTTGGAAATTAATGTTGCTTTACTATCACCCTGGCTTTCAGTCAGACATCGCTCTTCTTCTTGAAACCATTGGAGCCTCACTGATCGTTGGTAAGACTTCATGTTACACGAGACGTTGTTCATGGTATTTAGTTAGGGCCTGTTTAAATGGAGGTGTGGTACTCCAGGTAGGTAACCCGCCTGTCCATATAATCTCTCAGCTTAATTTGATCGCCTTTACATGATAGGTGGGGCCCGGACAATGTAAACAATTACATGCACAGGCGGGTTACCTGGGGTACCCTACCTCCATGTAAACAGGCCCTTATAACTAGGCAATTAACATGGCTTTGTCTCTTTCTTTAGGTGACAGTTAATCAAGCACAGAAGCTGAATACACTCTGTCAGCGTTCAACAACTTGGACGTGACTGGCAAGGTTCGATTGTCTTCCAAGTTGTTAAAGATGTAGCGTCCATACCTACTGTCGAAATTTTAAATCTCCTTAGTTTAACTAAAAATTGTGTTCGTGTTTCAGGTTATCTTAGCAGTTTTGTTGTCCGTGTATACGAAGGACTGTGTCATGCGTTCCTACAAAGTTATGCCAAGAGCTCAGGTACCACAATTTTTAAGACCCGTTGTCCCTGAAGGCATTCTACGCAATACTTAGTTTTAATTACTGTGGAAAATACGCGTGGAGTTAATATCCGCTCTTTAGTGTTCATATGTGAGTCCTCTCTGGAGCTAAATGACTGTACATAAGCTCTGAAGTGCCCTCGGCTAGCCAATCAAAGCACAGGATTTGCATTATCTTTCTCCCTGTCTAACAGTCACGGTTTATACCCTAGAAATGGGCCTGAGCTTAGATTGAACTGGTCGCTCAAGCAAAACTCGGGCCAATTTGACTGAACAAGAAGTCTTGGAAGAAAACTTAAATACCAAACCCTTTTAATTAACTCACTTGTCGTTATTTCTAGTTTTCATGACGGAAATCTAATATCCAAGACAAATACATGTTCAACATTTGTGTTATTCCCTGAGAAACAGCAGGTCTGGGGCTTTGCTTTGTGTTCATAGCCCATGATGGGAGTCTAGTTCCCGTCCATCCAAAACATTTATAAAATCAAAGCCACAAGAGTACAAAGCCATCAGTAATCATGGACGCTGGTTGATTACACTTTTGTCTAGGTCCACAAGCTTGCCAAAACACATGGCTGATAACTTCCACATAAGAAGTACCCTATGGAGAACAAGTTTCAGTTCCAGTGAGTTTTGTTAATTTCTGAATTTTTAGAATGCCCATGCCTATGTGAATGCGGGATTTATTGTTCAGGTGGACTCTTCGACCATGACTGTAAAGCTTGCCAGCCTTGTCTTAGGTGGTATAAGGCAATATCCAGTGAGTACATCTCCTAAGTGTCTCATTTATATAGATATCTCTGAATACGTACACCGTGCATAAACATGAATATAGACTGCAAAACAGTCCGTGTTTTTGCGTATTCAAATACGCGCGAGCAGTCAAACAAAAGGTCTGGAACGAGGCTGAAAACAGAGAGTGAGACTGGGGAGAGACGCTAAAAATACGGACTGTCCGATTTGCATACGTCATTTTCGTTCGAATTACCCGCTTCTCTCAGCCACGGCAATCCGCATTGGCTAAATTTCAATGCAACCTGTCTCTTGTCTCGCACACCCTACGGGCGTGTGTGGCTCGCGCGCTTCGCGCGCCTAAGACTCTTACGGCACGCTTTACCGATTTCTTTACTGATTTTGAAAAAAAAACCGACTGTTTTTCAGTCTAACATGAATAGAACTCCTTGAGGATTCTAATTGGATGATCATGTTTCTTTTAAAGGAATTGTTGCTCTATTTTCTTCTTTGCTGAAGTTAGGAGCGTGCAGGCTTAAGGCTTATTTTACTGTTTTACACTTTTACTAACAGTAATACTAGTTACTTGCATTAGTTATTTCACAATGCTTTCTTACTTTGTTTACTATAGTATCACGCCAAGAACACGGAGACAGACGAGGCCACTCTCAGAGGTGATGATACTCGAAATGTAAACTAATATCAATTGAAAGGATTCATTACTCAGAAACACTGTTCTCTCTATAGTCTATACTGAAGCTAGTTTCGTATCGAATGTATTCACAGTTAAAACAAGACAAATGAGTCGTTTACAGATCTGTTTTGATTCAGGACATTTACCACGACCATGTTCCTCGACAGAAGTTTAACCGAGGATTAAGCTAAATTTTCAGCGACTTTTTTTGTCTAAAAGCATGTAACTCGAGCTCATAAGATATTGTTGAACCTTTACTCCAAGACACAGTTATGGTAACACAAAATGCCTCTCTAAAGATTGCTATAGGATGGCATTTACATGAACGGACAAAAATTTCAGGAACCGGGCCTAGATTCGTATACCACATTGCTTGACTAATAGATAAAAAGGATTCCATGGCAAGATATCTAAACGCTTGCTTTGATGTTTCCAGATGTCTTGAATTCTTTAGCTAAAGAAATCAGTCCTAATTCTTCCCCCCTCTGTCCAAGTGTGAAATACCGAAAATCAGTGGCACTTGGCTTGTTTTACCAGGTGAGTAACAAGTCGGTTTGAAAACACTGACAAGGCGGTATTTGTGATAAGTAGTATTGGATTTCGCTTAAAAATTGAAACTTGCTGCTAATTTTGGTGAGCAGACTTGAAATAGTCCTTTATCGTTTTGCTTGAAGCCAACTCTTTTTTTTCCACATTCCACTGGGGCATTTCATTTAAATTCCATTTTGAAATTTGAGCTACATTCATTGTTGTCTAGGAGCGTGGCGAAAAATTTTCAATGAGGTGAGAGGAGGGTATACTGTGTCACACGCAGAGTAGTATAGTGGGAACCGATTAGATCACTTTTTTGCGCGCAAAGTGTCTTTTTTTTGCGCATAAATGCATTAGCGCCATCGTAGCCTTTTGTATTTATCTCTGAAGAAAAATTGTTCGTCGGAGCTTATGTTCTCCTACCTGCACGCAATTATAGAGTTTCCTACGTGAAAGAGGGGTCTAACCAGTCCATGCTATCCTCGGTACGTACCAACGAGGTCCATACTGTATTTTACTTTAGGTGACATTTTTTCGGATAAGCAGAGGGATTGGGGAGAGTTACAATCCTTAAAAATAGCTCTATACATGAGTCACGTGGCGAGAAGGACCAACTATGTTGTCTGTATAAACCAATTTTTAGAACGGCTGATACAATACAACAAAATTTTTAACAAAGAAAGCTTTCAAATGATGGTTTTTGGCAAGCAGTTTGAATAAAAGTCGGCCGAGGCAACGACAGTTAATTGTAGAATCTTAGCGTGGATCTTGGTATATAAACTTTCTAGCGTTTCGCAGAAAAACGAAAAGCGATCCCGGGTATAATAATAATAATTATTATTATTCCTAGCTGTTGAAATGCCCCGTCACACCTATGTTTTTTCAATTTCAGTTTATTTTTGTCCCAACTGGAACATTGTGCCTCATGCTGTTCGCACCAACAAACCTTCAAACACGTGGTGTCGCGCGCCAGGTATGCTATAACCTTTTCTCAATTTGGGATCCGTTTAACGAGGGCTATCGAACAACTTCTAGCCGTGCAAGAGACAAAGAAAAGCTAAGTGAAAAAAAAAGGCTTGAAAAACGAATTTATAACAATTTGACTTTTATTCAACGTGCTGCAACAAAACCAGTAGGTCAAAGTAACAAATCCAATTGCAATTATTTCCTGGACGTTTACGGTTATTAAGATTTATTACCTCGAACTGATTTGAAACTTTTATCATCTTAACAGCTGGAGAAAATAAACTAGGACTTGTTTCGATTATACTGCAGTTTAATAGAACTTTTTTTTATATTTCGTCCAAGGCTCTAGCCAAGCGGTTTTTATTATGGAATCAATTATGGAACATGTTGCCAAAACTTTGAACAAGACACCAGAGGAAGTGAGGGAACTAAATTTGTATAAGAATGGACAAGTAAGTTTTAACTTTCTTCATTATAACTTGAATTTTTTTAATTTGTGTGTTGAGTTGTTCATTTTATTTCTAGTTTAGTCAGCTAGGGCTTTATTCTCACAAACTCCCTGAGTAAAGTAAAAAACGATGAACACAACCTGAACATACCTACACCTCTGCCTAGTCCCGAGGCCTCATTATTCCGTTACCGAAGTGAATTGACCGTGAAGGCCTGGGAAAACGCCGTACAGGTACTAGGCAACCTCCAACCTCCTTAGCCAAGGACGTTTAGGGAGCGATGAGAGTCGGGGGGCTGTATTCGCAGGAGACGACGATGGCCCCTGGCGATGGCCCAAATGTATTTCCAGAGGACCCTTTAGCTATTTGACAGTTACTGAATCATTTCATGATCAAAATTCTGTTTTCTTTCCGTCCTCTTTCTGTTTCGTCCCGTTTAAGAAAGATAGAAATCTAATTATTTTATTAATGTGTCAAAATAATACTTTTCACTTGTATTTTTTAATAGTTACTTACTACTAATAAAAAATGAACTTTCAAAAAAGTCAATTAAAGGATGTTGTGGGAATTACTCATCACAGTTTGTCAAAACCTTTACAGGTAACGCAGACGGGACAAAAACTTAAGGACTGTAACATATCTAGTCTATGGAATGGTAATATTTGTTTATTAAATATTTTTGGATTGCATTGTGCGTTAATCATTTTCATTTACTCTGACTGGCGTGTCGCTATGATTTTACAAAGATAGAGTCGAAATCTGCCGATCGAAAGCAATTGCAACCTTACTAGCAAACGAAAAATAGCTTGCTCTGGTGATGTCGACTGCCGCACAAGTTGTCGAAACGTCAGTCACTGTCAACAGCAGTCCAATCCAGGACCGTGACAATCACACGAACGTTCATGCTGGACATAGTTATGACATGGCACCTAGGTTGAAATCGCCGTTTACCATATCAAAATCACTTCTATTGTACTTTAGAGACAACCAATCGTTCTCAAGTATCACTCACAACAACTGATTCGGTATAGTCCCCCTTTTTCTTGTTTGTTTTTTTAGACCTCATGCTATCAAGTGACTTCATGAAGAGAAAAGAAGCAACTGAGACCTTTAACAAGGTGAGGATGAGTTGGTTTCTGCGTCTCATCCTCTTAGTCTTTCTAGGACCTGATAACTAAACTGCACTAAACCTCTTCTCGCTTTCAATATTTTTGCCGCTGCTAGAAAATATAGAGGACCCGTCTTGTAAGGACCTTTTTCCATTTGGTCTACAAAAACTTAGCTAGAAAGTTAGTTCAATCCGTAAAAAGCTGATTCCCTTTTAATTCATTGTTTTCATCTACACTGAATTTGAAAAACCTTATAGCAACTGAAAAATAAACAATAGGTTTCTATACAAAAGCAGAATGATGTCTTAAGTCGATTAGCCTCTTTTTCAGAACAATCGCTGGCGGAAGCGTGGAATCAGTGTTGTTCCTCTAAAGTATGGAGTTCGGTGGGATGGTAGGAGGCATACTGCTTTGGTGTCAATATATCATACAGATGGCACTGTCGCTATTGCGCATGGAGGAATTGATATTGGGCAAGGAATTAACACCAAGGTATTATTAATAAACGATAAAAGAAACCTGGGCGCTCAAAGTCTTTCCTAGTGATCGTTGTCGCAAACGAGGGCTGCGACTGCTTTTGTGGCTGAATCAGTGTTTCCATATGACTGTTAAAATCGCAGTCACCGAACATTCTTCTACCCATTCTATACGATCAAGGCAGGATTCCTACCCAGATGTGACTCAGGCTTTCTTTAGCTGCAAAGGAGACTATACTAAAACAGACAACCAAATAAGTTATATAGATATTGGCATTTTGCTGAAGACGTTGAAATCAAACGCTGCCTTCAACACAGTATGACAGTGGTTAATTTGTGTTTATGTAGATAATTCTTTACGTACAGCCCTAAGCGATACCTCACTGGGTAAAAACATTGGCTTTCCAAAAACTACAAACAAAATCACATCCCTAAGCGAGTAGAGAGGGAACCCCTTCTTTTTCATATGAGGGTCCCCCGGGCTTAATACTTCATACTGGCATCCTGACTGTCATTATTTCAGTAATACATTGGAATTGGCCTATTATTACATAAATGAACTAAAGAAAAGGTATATCTCTTAAGTTGCTCAGGTTCCAGCGCACCAGCTGAAGTGCCCACTGGAAATGATTGTCATCAAACCAACCGCAGCATTTACCAATCCAAACAGTACGTGACAAACCTGTAATGTTACCTTTGACTGATATCTTTCGACTTCACTCGGAACATTTGCCCCAGCCAGATAGGATTAATATCCCCTATTAAAACTGTACAACAAAACCGAACATTATTTTGTACAACAATAAAAAGGAAATAGCTGCTGAAGAATTGCTTTTGTTTCACAGCATTTGATCCTGTCCAAACTATCGGATTTTTTGCACCACACACATACCTCACCACTTCCCCGCTTCCAAACGATGTTCATTGCATGATGGCGACTTATCATGTAACATCCATATCATATCTGGTAAATGGTCACGTCCAATTTAATTTTTTGCAGATGCAAGCACGGCTGCAAGCGCAACAAGTGAGATGTGTTGTAAGGTTTGTACAGCTACCAGTCCAATTCATAATTTCATTCATAAAACCTGCCTTAAAAAATAAAAAAGCCAAAAGCTCGAGCTCTTTCACATTGCGACAGCTCGAACCGGCCGCGAACACATGGAAGAAGATTATCAAATCACTACGTTTTAAGAAAACAGAAGATTCTGAGTTTTTTGCCAGTGGACCAAAAGCATTCATAAATTTGAGGGCTTTTTCCTGAGAGGTCAGGTATGTTCAAACGATTTTAAAGGTTTCACAGTTGCATAGTCTAACCTTGTCTTTTATTAGTCCGTTTGCAAAAGAACTTGAAAATCTTTTGTTTCTGAAAGCGTTGTGATTGGATAATCTAAATGCTAATACTAATTATAAAATGAATGCATAATAAAAACTATACCATAAACACTGGAGAACTCAATTTCAATCAAATATTATTAATTCGGACAGGGGCATAGCCATCACATGGACCGGTAGGCCCAGGCCTACAAATGTTTGGTTTTATCACTCTACCGTTTGCCAGTAGTAAGTTATGAGTTGTTGAGGCGAGCTAAAACGGTTAAGAGCTCAAGAGAGCTCAAGAGCCTTAGGAAAGTTAGCCAGGCCTAAAACTATTCGAAAAGCTGGCTACGCCCCTGATGACTTCAATAAACTAACGAAAACCTTCCCAAACCGAACTCCTGGAGCTGGGACTGGCTGTTGTCAAGTCAAGTGGAAAGTCGTCCGTCATTCAAAGAATTGACTGTAAAAGTTTTAGTATCGGTGCTATTCACCATTTTTTCCCAAACAAATGTACCCTCTAGCCCCTCATCCCCTAACGCCACGAAAAATCTATGCCTAGGCCTGTTACCGTATAAATAACTAACTTATTGTATGGCACCGTCCAGCAGTCATAAATATTTTTTTTAGGCAGTAATGGAATGCTGCGACGTCTTAAATAAAGTGATTGATCCAATCAGAAAAAACCATGCCATCCGGCGTGTCCTGGCCTGAACTGATTGAAAGGTGCTATGATAATGGAGTGCATTTATCATTTTTTATCAGCCACGAGTTAATCCCCCAAAGGGTTTTTTCAGCCGTTTTGGTCATAAATTGGGTCCGATTTTGGCTATTTGTTTTGGTCACCAAATAGGGAAACAAAGTCTTGAATGCCTTTTTAGAAGAAGCTATTTCCTTATCATGTCCCCCTAACCTAATAAAAGCAGATAAACATTGCCTTTAACATTGGTCTGAACTAGGGAAATAATTATAAGGCAGGTCTGAAACGGGTATTGATTTAAGGGTCAGGTCATTAGGGTAGGGAAAATCTAAAATAGGGTAAGGGTTTTGGGAAGGGGCCGCACACCCCTACCCAATTTTTCTGGACTTTTTATACCACACCATATTTGCCTTCAAAAACATTGTCATTTATCTTTCTTGAGAAACGCTCATTCCTGGGGTTTGAACTGAATGTTGCATAGTTTATGTTTCTCTTAGTACTGTTGGGGTGTTGATGAAAATTGAATTGATCATGAAAAAATGATCGTTTTACAAGGAAATGAAAGCAGGAAACGTATTTAATCCACCCATTGCAGTCCAGTATGTCCGACCAACAAATGACCCACTTTTACTTGCCCTAGCCCCTGAGCGCGTTTAGCTAATCAAGAGGCAGGAAGTCTGGACTTTAACTTCAAAAAGTCATACGTGCTAGACTGGGAGAAACTGAGATATTTGTTCCCAATACTTCTGTGTTACTGACTGAGAAAAACATTTTTCTTGAATCCTATGATAATCGTCAGGTTAAAAAAGTACCCAAGACCAATAAAACCAAAAGGGGAGTTACCTTTTTTATGCCCTTTCTTTTTTAGGTACCAAGATCCAACACCTCCAAGTGACACATATACATACAACACTTATGGCGTGACTTGCACTGAGGTGGAGGTTGACGTACTGACAGGAGAAAGAGAAATCTTGCGCACTGATATACTGAATGACTGCGGAGAAAGGTAACATCCAAAAAAGACTTTCAGTTGCACGTGTCCATATTGTGGTGGTCAGATGCCGTTGAATCACAAGGGTGTTCTTCACGAGTCGAAATTTTTCCAGCTTGAAAATCAACATTCAAACATTATGTTAAAGTCAAAACTGGTCAATTAATTAGTGTTGGGGCTTAGACATAAATGTTTGCTAAAGGGTCGTTAGTCTTGTAGAGCGTTTTCAGTCAAGAAAAAGCCTCCCACAGGACACCAACATTGCCGCCATTGTTTTGGGACACTAACAGGCAGGAAGTGACGTCATGTGAAAACGCTCTGTTGATGCAAATACTTGAAACCTCTATCAAAAGTAGTTGGTGTTCAACACGGCCTTTTTAAACTAAAATGATGTAATGCTGTAATGATATCCACAGCAAGAACCCTGTTCTGGACATTGGTCAGGTGGAGGGTGCCTTCATGATGGGAGTTGGTCAGTGGCTGACAGAGAAATTCATCTACGATCCTCAGACAGGGAGAAACTTAAGTAATGGAAGTTGGGTAAGTGTTTGCAATAGATGAAGCTCTGACTCGCTTGTTAAGCCTCTGGTGATTCTTGAACATGGCAAAGGCGCCAAATGTCTTTAACACTATCGCAGTTGATTTTTGTTGGTTGTGCCAAGATCAAAGAGTTCAGTGGTGGCGCAAGAGCTCAGTGCGACACAAGCAAATATCAGGGGTACGCTATTACATTAGGGCAATCAATCTAGGTGGGTTATGAAATTATATCTTTCAACCAATTTGCACAGTGTTTCTCCTTTTATTTGGACAACAGACCCCAATCAACAGTGTCAATAGTCGATGAAGTTGATGGATAGATTAGCCGGAATAGATTGACAGTGGAAATGGAAAGCACGAGGTTAAGGAATGGCAATCCAGTGTGAAATTCATGGTTTGCGAAGCACGTTGAACGGTTTTTTTCGCACGCTTCATTTGAATCTCAAGTTATCCGCGCCCCCTCGCTTTCGTCTTCCTATTGTTATAGCTTAGCAGTTCAATCATCAGAGTATTATCCAAGAGTGCCAGTATGATTTTCACACACGAGTTAGAAAATCATAAACTTCATGAAGCCAAAATATTAACCAAATGTCTTTTACTTGTAACTTAATGCAGGTATCTGCTAACCTTTGTGTTCCAAACTGCTAACCCATGTAAGGAAATCCAGGACAGTCTTGGATTCCACGCTGTTCAGGATTCTTGATTTTCAGTTTTTGTTAGTGGAACTTGGATTCCGGATTCCTTAAGCTGTATTCCGGACTGCAAGGCCCAGGATTCCGGATTCCACTTGAACATTCTCCTGGATTTGGGATTCCAGAATCCAGATTCCCTTACAGGGAAGAAAAATGGACTTTGGACTGATTTTCTTTACTATAATAGGACTATAAGCCTCCATGTTCAAAGGACACTCCAATTGACTTCAGAGTATCACTACTGAAGAATGCTCCAAATCCACTTGGCATCATCAGATCCAAGAGTAAGCAAATCAACTTATTAACTGCATGCAAGGAATGACCCTTGTCATAATTATAAAAAAAATTCCATTTTTATTTTGTAAAATTTCCACAATCCTGAAGGTCAAATGCTGCAATATGATCAAGTAAAAAGATTAAAGTGTTTTAAAATGTATTTGTATAGGTAATAGCATAATTTGAGTGATATTTGGCATAAATACTACAACCTCGTCCCCATTTTCCCTTAAAAAATGGGTGGGGCGGGATACCCCACCCATTTTTTAAGGGAATTTCACGAGGTTGTTCACGAGCCGTCCCCAGGGCTTTTCCCTTAAAAACGAGTGGTGGGGGCCAATTAACTACTACATGGAAATTTCTGCCTTTTTACCCGCCCCACCCCTTTTTTTGCGGGTAGTGGTAAAACAAATAATAGCATGATTTGTACGTTATTTGGCATCGAGGTTGTTCACGAGCCGTTAGGGCTAGTGAAATTACGAGAACAATTTTGAAATATCACTCGTGGTATTTATGCCAAATTTGCCAAATATCACGAACAAACCGTGCTATTATTTGTTTATACCACTACCCGCAAAAGGTTTGTAATTTTCACATGTAGGTATTTCAAATTAAGCTGAAATACCACTGCTCTAAGCCAATCAAATTGCAGAATTTTCTCATGTAGTAGTATAATATGTCTTATGTTTCATCAGCTTCAGGGGAACCTGCACAATGCATGGCCTGCTCGTGTTTGTTTGCTGTAAAACACGCTGTGGAAGAAGCACGAGGCGAAGTCGGCAAAGGAGAAGAATATTTTGTCATGAGTGAGTAACGTTATCATAAACTTTTTACTATGACTGAAAAATATTTCTCCGTCTCCTTTGGTCGATTTGAGTAATTTTTTATTGGGTATCATGTCGAGCTCTCATTGCTTGGTCAACAGACCCTGGTCCGGCGGATACTCATTTTATCTCTTTTTATTTCCCTTTTTATATCAAGGATAAGATTTCAACCACCACGTTTTCACCAGCACTTTTTTTCTGGTTATTTTAGATGGGCCCAGCACGGTAGAGGATACACAGTTGGCATGTCTTGTGGATCCCAGCCACTTCACCCTGTGAGCAAAAATACTCGTACGGGTAGGCCGGGGGAGCGTATGGCGGAGAACTCTCAAGGTCTCCAAGGAGTTATGGCTGAACTTGAATGTATTAGAGTCGAGGGAATGAGCTCTTGTCAGTGGTCGCTGAATGTTCGAGTCTAAAAGAAACCCAGAATTTGAAGGATCATAAAATACATTTTCCTGTTAGCAGTGGAACCTTTTCCCTGGTATTCGGCTGTGGGAAACTGACTCTTTTCCTCCCACGTCGCCTCTGTGGGGAAAAACAAAACACTTAAACGCCTTTCTGGATTAATTGAAGATAGCAGTTTCAAAAGATCGGTAGCCTACGAGAACGCTCTTTGGAGAGCTCAAGGGGCGACGGAAAATGTTTTTTCAGTCGATCAAGAGATGTTTGGACGCACAGTGACTGACCAGATCAGAGATGCTATGATAACAACAATAACAGCGAAACATCTGATTACCTACATATCTATGTTTGTTCAGTATACATACTTATATCCTTATACGTCTTTTTTACGTCTACTTACTAGTATTTAAATTTCCCGTGGGGGAAAATCTCTATTTCTTATACAGTCACTTTTCCAACTGTTTACTGACTTCAATTTAATGTTATTTATCTATTTATAATGTTTTTACTTCTACTTGCTGTAATTTATTTTGTGTGGCAAAATAAAAACGCCGACCACTTTAACATCAAAGTCAATCCTCCAATAACCGAAAGAGTTGAACGAATGGCGATCACGGCAAACGTCATATTGAAGTTGAAAATTTCTGAAAATAGAAAATGAGCAGATAAAAACTACCCAAAACAGTTGTAGTACCCGGTGGAGCTACTAACTTTGGGGTAGACGTAATGAACAGTAAAGGCGTACAATTCACGTCTGCCGTTTCCAGTAAAAAAAAAAAGGCAAAGGCGCATACGAGCCAAAGGCCCGAACGCCGGAGCTTATCTCGGTTTCCTTCATATGAAGCATGCCTAGGAGTATTGCTGCTCCTCCCTGGAGGGGATGCTAGTCCATCGCGGGGTTACCCCCCAGGAGTATCTCGCCGGTACCTACACCTGGCTGAAGAAAGACAAAGTGGAGTAAAGTTTGTTGTCTAAGGAAACAGCTCGACGGGCGAGGTTTGAACCCTAGACCTCCAGCATCCGGAGTTCGAGGTGTTGACCGCTCGACCACACACGCCTCCAAATCGTGCGTCTAAATCTTTCTAATAATTAGAAATTATTCGACAGATGACCCCATGCAACTACACGACGCTCCTGTTCAAACCTAACCTGCGATCAGGCTTTTTTTGGTTTATTTCAGGTAAGTTCAAACCATGAGTGAGGGGGAATAGACCATCATGCAGAGGAACCTTCTTAATATTAATTTATACGGAAATTAATATTTACTTGAAATCTTGGACTAAATTTCTACTTAATAACTGTCAACCGTCAAAATTGGAACAAAAAAAATTATCGTCAACCGTCAAAGCTACAACCCACGCCCCACAACCCTCTCCCGCCCCCCTTACGGGAGAGAAAAAAATTGAAAGACGAAACAATCGAGGATGGAGGAATCGTTCGCTATCTAGCCTGAGATCATGCCCTCTCCCTATTATCCCTTTATGTCTCTCACGGGAGACAAAGAAGCAAACAAAAAAAAATCAGGCCTGATCTCAGGTTATTCGCTATCCGATTTAGCCTGAATTTCATCGGATTACTTCGAGTCGTTATTACTCCCTCAGTAAGAGGAGAAAACGACTCGAAGCAATTGGATGAATTTCAGGCTATATCCGATTAACAATAGACTGATGTAGCAACAGAACGGGAACGTTCGCTGACGACAGGAAAGCGCGCGGAAACGACTTTAATATTTTAAAATATAAACGTACCTCCCAAATTTGCCGCTCTGCCATTGGTCAAGACAGTTGTTTGACTTGCGCGCGCGCGCCTTGTCAGCTGACGTTTACGTTATGCTGCTAAATCAGCCCACTAATTCTATAGCAAGATTCTTTACCTGACGAGGGAATTCCACGTTAAATTGCACGCGAAAACCGATTTCGGATATCGCACGAATCGGTTTTCAAGCGCAATTTAACTTGGAATTCACGAGTCGGGTAGTGGATTTTCCTTGAATCGCATAACTGAATAAAAAACAGAAAAAAAAAAAAGAAAGAATATTGTTTGTTTTTATCCTGAGCGCGCGCTCCAGGAAGCCATTTCAAAGTCAACTGTCAGAACTGTCATTGCGTTAGCGAATAGGAAGCAAGGTCAGTCGTACACGTTTGACCCTTCGACAACTTAAGCTTCACACTAATCGTAAGGATAAATAGAGGTATTTCACTGAATTTACAAGCCGTTTATCTATAACATCTTTTTTCAAATTGGTCATTTGCTCGAGAAGGAAAATAATTTACACCTTTTACGTCTTCGGCGGCAAAACTGAAAGAAATGAAGTGTCCAAGCGAAAGCACTGAAAGGTTAACGTCGCGATTAATATATGGTAAGTACCTTGAAATGTTTTAGAAATGCTGTTCAAGTTCAGCTCTGTTTTGTACTTTTCTAAGTATCACGATTCAGGACGATTGCAAGCGGCGTACTCTTTTTCGTGTTTTCACTGAGGGGCCATGTCGACTTTGAAGGTATTTATTTCTTCTCCTGTGTATGTGACAATCGACCCCGGCGCTTCCTCCGTTGTCGCTTCTCCGTTTTGTTTGGTTGAACTTTGGCTTGCCATTTTCTGGGCCGTGTTCACAAGATTTTCTTGTTTTGTCGTTGTCGCGAGCGAAAGAGGTTTTTTATGTTTCTTCGAGAATTTGTAGTTCAGTTTAAAACAAGGAAGAACCTCCGGCTCACTATAAAAACGCTTTTGTTTCTTTTGAACTCTTCAAAAGGTGACAATGGCTTTGAAAACATTTTAAAATGACATTGTAGAAAACCTTTTTTGCAGTTGTTGTGTTAGAATTTGACGATAGTTGTTACGTAGATTCGAAACAATATTGCTTAGCCTCGTTTTCAACTCGCAATTCCACACTAAATACCTCGCTTCGTTAACCAATCAGAATGCCAGATTTTACTCAGTTATGCGATTCCAAAGAAAAATTGTGAAGAGAGACTGAACAATACTGACCCCAACAACTCTAGCCCACATTACAATAGACCTGACATCTCATTGAATTAACAAATGCTCTGCTGCTGACTATTAGTATCACAGCGCAAGAGCCAGTGCGCGCGCAAAAGAAATTAACAAGTCAAGGTAATTGTTTATGACATCACTAAATTTTAAAACCTCACTTTTGGAAGAAGAAAAACGTGATAGAAATTCGACGGAAGATTATATAGAGCGGTGAAGTGATTTTTTTCTAAGAAAAGATTTTTTAGTGTATTTAAAAGAACAATTCGTCCACAAAGGATGGCACAGATGTATGTTTATACCTATGAGCAACTTTTGGCGATTGTAAACCAGCAAGCAGCAACCATAGCTCAACAAGTTGCCACAATCAACAACCTGCGGACTGAAAGAGATTGGTTGGACGAAGACAACCAACTTCAAAGAGAAGAGGTGGAAAAAGCTACAAAGAAAATTACAGATCAAGAAAAAAATGCAAAGTTAAAAGAAAGTAAATTAAAGAAAGAGATACTACAAGTAGAACAATCACAACAGAAAATCAAGCAGAAGCATCAGAACGCTGTAAGAGAACTCAATGATCTCAAATCAAGAAACATGAAGATAAAATCCCACTGTACCTCTCTTTTGGATAAGCTAGATAAGGGCACCCAGGAGCTTCAGCAGAAGCAAGAAGAGCTTGAACGGATAAAGCAGGAACTCGATTTAGGCTACAGCCTGGGCGAGTCGATGTATCAGCACCTCAGATATTATTACTGGGGGTACTTCGAGCTGCTAAAGTACTTCCAGCGGCCCAGGCCACCGACTGGAGGAGCGACCATCACAGAGCTCGACACTATGCCTCACAGTTATAGCGTAACACAGGAAGTGCGGGTGTCACCAAAACCAACCTCGGAAACCGTTATAGTACCTGCACCCGTGAACACGGTGAAGAAAACGGAAACGGATTACCGTACAGCTCTGGTAGCGCAGAATGTCATCCAGTCATTAAGAAGGAACACCATCTGTCCCCAAACAGCTTACATCCTGAGCTATGCTCCCTCTCGTGACCTAAACCCAATCGAGGTCCTGCTGTTTAATAATAACAACTGCAGCTTCATCTTTGAAGCTCCTGAGGTTCCTCAGTTATTAGCTGTCGAAAATGAAGTGCCCACAAGACCTGGCAACCACCAACAGCTGCTTGCCATTTGTCCACCCGAGTGGGCAAATGCAGCAATCAAAATCCCTAGAGCTATAAAAGCAGCCAATCGTGCACCTCGGATACGGAAGAATACCGCGCTCAGCAACATCACCTCTTGCAACAAGACGTGTGGATCTTCCCCGAAGAAAACCAAAGAGGAATACGAGAGTGGAAGTGAACCACCCAAAGTTGGACATTGCCAGCCGACCACAGCCTTTTCCGAGCATCGCCTCGACGCTAACAACCTTTTCACCGATGGTGAAAAGGAATTTTTAACTCATAAAGATGAAAGGAGAGCAAGTGAAGAGAAAAAACCAAAGGCTTTGGTAAGTTGGCTCAAAAACTACAGATACTCTGCGAAATTGATTTGGCCTAAAATGGTTTCAGTAGTTTAACTTATGAAAAAAACCCTTGGAGTGTGATAATAATACCCGGCCTCACGACTATAAATGCCAGCAGTTTACTAATCAGTCAGTAACGGGTGGGCAGTGGCGGATCCAGACCTAATCTGGGTGCGGGGGGGAGCGGTCATCCAGACCCCGAGATAAGGGGGGCGGTCTCAAAATAATTTTTTTCGGTCCTTCAGGCCTCAGTTTGGTCTAAAAATAAGGTGGGGATCCGGGCCTCCCGTGTCCCTACCCCCTGGATCTGCAAATGGTGGGGACAGGTTTGTTGAACAGAAATTCGTGTCCTCTCTCAACCTTCACAAAACAACTTGGTCCTTTAAGTGATATTCAGATGTAAGTAAGTTTTTTTTATCTGGTAAATGAGGTTTTGTTTTCGGTAGAGGCGACTCATGTCCAGTCTCTTAATAATCCGCCATGTCAAGTCATGGCCACTCTGCTGTAAGACAAACACTTCGTGACTAAATATGGCAGGTGTGGTAAATCAGTAAAACCCTATGTTCTCGGACTAAAAAGCGACTAATGAGTGTGGGGGGAGCTCTTCGTCGTTCTTGAAGATAGCGTTTTAACTGCGTATTTTCGTACTAAACATCTCCTCTGGTTATATACTTTACCTTTGCAGAAAAGAAGAGTGATCAAATTTTTTTCCTGGGTAGCACGCCACTGTTGTTGCAGGCCTAAAACAAAGGAGTGAATTCTAAAACCTATTCAATAAGTTTCATTTTTTCTATATATTTTATTATTGTGATTGACTGAGAATTTTATAAAGGCTGGTTTTCATCTGGCGACGGAGTCGGAGTCGTAATCAGAAGCGTAGAGCTTATAATCTACTGAAAACAGCGTTTCCATTCCGCTTACGACTCCGTCGCTTACGTTCCGCTTATGATCTAGCGAAAACCAGTTTGTCGGAGTAGGAAGCAGAGGCCAAAAAAATAAACCGATCACAATGCGTGGGAAAGTGCATTGTGATTGGTTTTTCCTTCCGCCTCTGCTTCCGACTCCGATCACCAGATCATAAGCGGAACGGACAAAAAATGGAAACGTTCTGATTCTTCTAAATCCGATTTCGTCTTGCTTACGACTCCGATTTTAGATTTTCACAAGGTCATAAGTGCTTTTACGACTCTGCTTTGAATACGACTCCGACTCCGACTCCGGCTCCGTCGCTACTGAAAACCAGCCTTTTTTAGAAAACAAAAAAAAAACAAAAACAAAAATTACAAAAAGCAAATAATGGTAGAATTGAAAAAAAAATAGTTCAACAGCTTTTTCCTTTTGGCATTTTCTTATTTTTCATAATATTGTCCTACACTCTGACAAAATAATGCAGTCAAATTTAGACAAACTGTCACTCCAACTGTTGCTAAAGTACTTCGACTACTTGCAATGGCCTTGCAATGGGCAAAGGAAAATTCTGACGTGGGGCACTCTGGGAGCGGATCCTTTGGATTGTGATGGACAGGATGTATTTTGGTAAGACTACAAATGGTCGCTGTTATCACAGACTTACTCAACTTTTTCTTCTGTAAGGGTCTTCAAAATCTAGATAAACCCATCAGTAATAATGCTGATCCACCTTCCTGGTGTATCCCTTTTGAGAACTGTCCCGAGCGCGGTTTTTCAGGCAACAGATTTATTCAAGCATTTTCGACTTGCCATTACATTCGCACCGGCAGTTGGCTGTTGGGGATAATGAGAAGAATAAGACGATTGTCATATTTGTCTTCATCTTTATCCCCAAGTGGCAAACTTCCCGTCCGAATTGATGGCAACGTTCTGGAGGTTACTTGGCCTCTCAGAACTGTCGGTTGTGTAGCGCGCGTAGCATGGCGGCTCTGGTGGGAGGCTTGACGCAGGTTATCGGTTGTGGTTACCGACTTGCAAATAACCTGTTTAGAAGTCGCGTAGGGGGAGTGAGACAGGTAGGCTACTCCAGGTGTTTAGATTGGGGGGAGCTACGGCGCAAAGCCTTATGGAAGGGGGGAAAACGTCTAGGGGTGGGGTAGGGGCTATCTGAACTCTGAATTCTGAATTCCCTTTTTCTTCATATCGAATTTTAGCAATTCTCGTAAAACTAGAAATACGTGTATAATCTTTGCGCTGCTTAAATATTAAGAGAAAAATCCTCTTAAAAAAGAAAGAAAACATGAGAGGAGCGCTGTGTCGTGTGACATATCGCCGGGCTGCGTGCCCGTCACGTGACTACTTTGGTTATCGCCACAGGTGAATGATTTCGTCGAACAAAATCTCGATATTTTGAGACGCAGTAATGCCTGTACAACGAGAAATATGTCGTTCTTCTGCCCCTCATTTGGAATGTCCGGCTTGTTTTGCAAGGTAAAGATTATGCTGGTCTTTTATGTTCCCCTTTGTTTTCCTGATCCACAACAAAAGATATTGATCGATTGGATTGCATTCATGCATAATCAGCTATCCGTCCGTCTGGTAATTTCTTATTATACGTACGTCTTCATTTAAATATTTGACTTTTCTTCTTGCTACAAGCTTAATATTGAAGGGTATTTAATTTATGAAAGAGAGAACAAACGTATGAGCACGAAACAATTTAGGATCTCTCATCATTCCCGGTTTTGAAAACATTGCTTCTGGTTACCGTGCCTCACTGTGACGAACATTAATACCTGATCCATTCTATAAAAGTTTGATTTACGGAATTTTTACGTTTTCCTCGCGTTTTACAGATGCATATTCTTGTACACAGGTGTCTATTTGTGGCCTCTGACTTGATTTTTGATCGCTCAGCTGGGATCTCTTCCCAACGATTACTGAAAACAAAGCCTATTGTTGGCTACTTTTGCTTTTGAAACCTTTTAGTTTGCAATTTCGCTTTTCAAAGTAAATAATACATGTACAAGTATGTGTTCAATTTACTCGTCGTCTTTGACAAAGCATTCACTTGTTAGTGAGTGACTCAGAAAGTGGCTTGCGTGACTTCAACGTGACAACTGACGCGTAAAAAAAACAACTCATGACAACTGAATTTATCTTGTGAAGTACCCGTTTTATTTTGGAGATGAACAAAAGCTCTTTTTCGCCTTTTGACAGAGGGTAGGTTTTTCTGAGACGCTTGCAAACCTTTTTAAATTTGACGTTAAGTGCATGTATACTGTTAATGTGACGACTCTGCCGGCCTTGTACATTACCAGACGTTTGGGGAGTTAATCCGCTTTTCGACCAGAGAAGACGAATTGCCTTGGCACCGTAAAGAGAATTTAGGGCAACTAAGAGCTAGCCGTTTGCTTTTTTGGCTCAGTGGTGTGCTCGAACGGAAAAACCGCGAACCTAAGTTCATTAATGGGTCACAACATTTATCGGGAACAGTTCTATGAAAGCATATGCATGGCGTTTATTATAAAAATTGTCTTCATATTGTGCCTTAACATGCAAGACTTATAAAAATTGTTTTCTTAAGGGCAGATAGAAATCTGGTGATCCAAAGATTTCCTTAACCGCGTTCTAAGTTAAACTTCGTTTAAATAACCGACCCTTAGTTTTTGCTTGCCAACCGATCGAATCGAACGATGATTGATTGGCCAAAACGCAAACAGAACACCAGTATATCTTAATGTGAAGACCCTCATTTTTATCAAGGCCTTTTTTTAATCATTGACCAATGTCAGAGAAACACTAGTAGCAATATTTTATTCCATGTTGTGCCTTTTTAGACTTGTTCCTGAGAATGGGCAGGTGCTATGTAGTGGTTTGTACAATGGCACATGCAAGAGTTGTAGCAAAGATGTGACATTTTGGTCTGTCCCATCCCCTGTCAGTGAGATCACCTTTACTGTGAATGGTACACAGTACACTGTAACCAATCCTGATCCTGGCATGAGTCTTAATGAGTGGCTAAGAGATCAGCCAGGACTGCAAGGTAGGTTAATTACTCACAAGGTTTAAGAAAACTAATGTATCATGTATACAGAGTTAACTTGTTCAAGCTGTTAACGGTATGCTTGTTATGAAACAAATTAGCCTGCAGAGCATGGCGGTTTTGGTTGGGCGCACTAAGTAATAGAGGTGGGCGAGGGCAGAGAAACCGCGAGGAGATTGAGGCGGGAGCAACTTGGAAAAACCGCCTGCATGAACGGGGGGCTTTTTTGAGTCAGTCTGTATGCCAACGTACGGATCATTCTGATTGGTTCAGAATATGTTCGCCCGTCAATGAAATATTTTGGTAGTCTCCCATGGGAGAGTTTTGAGGGACTGAACAAATCGTCTCTGCAAAACAAAATCAAAATATCAAAGAAGCGTTGACCGGAGCGTCGTCGATCTTGAATATTTGACGGGAAAACAGGGCAATTGTATTGAAGCCTAAACAGGAAATGGCCATTTACAGTCTTCTTCAAAGGAGAGATGTCATGGAAAGTTTTGGTAAGAGCATGATCTTTACTGTCTTTGCTAAGGACAAAGAAGAAATATCCTCATCAAAAACCTGTATATATGATCACAATCTCCCCTCTAAAAGTACTATAGATGACCAGATATCGGAAATGTTGTCGCTGAGCTGTACAGCAATGAACCTTATGACAGAAACAGTAAATTTCAGTGCTTCGAGAAAGTCCACCTCAATTTTCTCTATTACTCGGTGTTAGAGAATGATGCACTCCAGCACACTACATCGAACGGTGTCCACGATTGTGGTTGATGAATCGCATACAGTAGAGGAAAGACACACAGCGTAATTCTCCATACTTGGTGTAGCTTAAGTTTAAGATACAACTCAAATCTGAAGATCGCGCTATACGTAAAAATACAACATCCTGCAAACAACACTTAAAAAGCCAGGCCCAGCGTCGAAAGATTCACGGACAAAGAAACTACAAACCAAGGCTCCTTGGTTTGTAGTTATCCAGATCCACTGGCATTTTAGGCGGAAAAGACCAAAGAAGCTAAAATATTTATTTAGCCATAATAAAAAGCTTTAGGCTTTAAGAGTGGTCAAAGAAATTAGTACTTTACAACTGCATCTGATATCAACAAATTCTAATCAGCAACACGTACAGAAGCATTAACCACAGGAAATAATTACTCAATATGGATGAAAGAAACCAACTTCATGACTTCTAAATAGATGTAAGACTTATAGTGCAGCAAAATTAAGATCTACTCAGTCAAGTTTAGAACGCAGTGTAGTCACCTATGTGTGAGATAGCAACAAAGAAAAAAACCTGTGTTTGTTCAAGCAAACTCCAATTCCGGCCAAGGTCAAGTTTTACATTATATCACGAGCTTTTGTGTCGTGTTTAGGCTGTCAACACTTTATTTCTGATTGGCTGGGAAAACAGGGCAGCAGCAGCAGGGCAGGCGGTTTTTATTTTTCTTGTGGCTTCGCCGCTTGTTCTCATGTGCTTCGCACGCGAATATCGCGGCTTCGCTGCTCAATGCGCTCGGCTCGACAAAACCACCATGCTATGCAGGCTGCAAACAAATCTACAAATAATTACGCTAACAGTATCCTGGAGTCTCTCAGATATGGTACCAATCTCCTGTTCTCCCATATTACTCACAAGGTTTAAGAAAAATTGTGTCATGTATACAGAATTAAGTTATTCAAGCTGCAACCTGTTAATGGTAGCTTGTTATGAAACAAATGTACAAATGATTATGCCAACAGTATAATAATAATTAATAATAATAATAAATGCAATCAAAAACTCTTGAGTCAATACAAAACAGAATTATCTGTCTCTGATATTAAAAAGAAACAATTTAAACTAGAATAAAATCTCGTATTCCTAAATTCCTAATTCTTTTTAAAAAAGTTCCAAAAAGAAAAAAGATTAATTCAGGCAGGCTCTAATATTTTCGATCTGTCATCTTCTGGATCTTGAGCCTCTCAAGCATAGTATCGCATAATAATAATAATAATAATAATAATAATAATAATAATAATAACCTATTTAACTAGGGTAAACCTGTCAGCTGAAGCTGCTATAACTGGGTGCCCTTGTCAACTAAAAAATTAACAATTAAAGGAAAAAATAAGTATAACAGATCAACTATCAGAAAAATATAAGAACTATGTACAAATATGTCGATGGATAAAAACTACAAATTATACAACTACGTAAATTAAGACTCTAAAAAACTCCAAAAGATTTTCCAGAACTCTTAAAAATAATATCATTAAACTGTGTTTTAAAAATCATCATAGTCAACTTCCTTCAGATGCGGTGGCAAGTTATTGAAAGCCTGGGCTCCAGTATAAAATGTTCCTTTCTTGGCAGATTTTGTATGGACTTTAGGAATGAAAATGTCTAAACCATTACACCGATTATGGAGACACTTAAAAACAAAAGTAAAATTGTGCATAGTAGAACATGCCTTTAAAGGGACTTCCAACTTAATTGGCATAACACTTGATGGTGACCACGCAGGGATCCATATTCCGAGTTGTCCAGTAGTCCCAGATGACTACAATCTCGTATGGACAATTAAGGTAACTTCAAAAGTCACCCTTCGGACGAGTGAGGTTTTGCTTAACCACAAAATCTTTTAAAAAATTCTTGTATGATTTTTATGCATTTTCCCTGTGTTCTGATTACTTCTCTGGTACACTTAAAACTTTTAGAATAGTGAAGAATAACAAGCAGCTTTTGTCTGCAATAACATTGCCCAGCTGACGACTCTGAGAAAAAGTGAATATGTTTGGGCACCATCTTTTTCCCTTCTATATTTGATGGTGCAGTATTTGTCACGCTTACATTTGCTTTGTCATAAAATATTGTAATAAATTTTGTTGGTCTGTACCTCATGTAAAACTATAGAAAAAGAATGTTCTCAGCCATTTCCATGTCATAATTTGGGGGGAGGTGGCCAGGGGGTAGGGGCGGTGGTATGCAAAAGAGGAAGTTTCCAGATTTTTGATCTCCAGACTGTTGTGCTATTAAATTTAAGTTATTTCAGCAGAGTTAATAAAGATGAATGAAATTTGGATGAAAATTATGACAATTTAGACACTCGCTGGTCATTAATAATATTTAGGGCTAACATTGATAGCAAGCTATCAAAGGATCCTTTGTAATCTTGCTGAATTGACCACCCTGGGCAATACATGCATAATTCAGGCATGGGATCCACACCAGTTTTTAATCCTCTTTTCTATGGAAATTGGTCAGATTTTTCATAATAAATGTATCTTAAAAATGTTTTGGACTCACCTTGCTTCATATCCACTTTACCATGGAAATTGACCATGATGAAATAATATGATGATTTGTAAAGCTTCATCCGAGGAGAATAGAACTGTCCAATATCCTGTGTGAATGACTAGGAAACTCAGGAAAGGGGACTTCATGGAGGGAGACCTGGAGATAAGGACGGGGGGTGGGGGAAGGGGGCGGTCTAAAGAAAAATTCCTGTTGACCACATTCATTCCATTTTTGTCTACAAGTAACTCGGGGGGCTGGGTCCCTCCCCTGCATCCGCCACTGATAATGCTTTTTTATATAACTTGTAGGAACAAAAGTAATGTGCCGTGAGGGAGGTTGTGGCTGCTGTGTGGTGTCAGTAACAAGGAATGATCTGAGCACTGGCAAAGATGCTACTATTGCTGTTAACTCGGTGAGAGATTTCTTTAATAATTTCCAATGATTGTTAGAACAAGACTGAACAAAATTTTATACTCTGTATCTCTTTCATATGCTATGTCCTTTGCCCTATTATTGAAAGAGAATTTCTTCTTGGGATGGGTATTATCTTATAGGATTCTGTTGAGCAAAATTGGCATTTTAGCAGGTAAATCATTCGTTGATGTCGATTTCACCCTTCAAACAAATAGGGCTTAAGTCAACACTAAGTTAGCAAAATGTCCATAATCCATTCTGTAAAACTGTGATAGCAGTCAGATCAGTGACAGTGAGTGAGATTGTCACAAACAGGAAAACCTTGGCTACATGTATGTAACAAATTTAATCATGTTTTTTCTATCATACTAGTGCCTCTTTCCACTTTGTGGAGCCAATGGAGCAACTGTGACTACAGTCGAAGGTATTGGAAAGTAAGTCTGGTTTAAAACTTTTCCTTCATGCTTTGGGAAACAATTAGCGATAAATTCGGAAATCTAGAAGATTGTATACGTTTAATGCAAATAATCTCCCATCATCTGGTTCTTTTTAAATTTTTGTGTTGATAATAAATTATTATTGTGGAAACGTCGAGACCCCTAAACAGTGTATGTTTCTTTTTGGGATATTTTTACCTGTACCGTCAAGCGGTGCCATCAGCTGTTTATAAACTGGGACTGATGCTATCAATGTTATATTGAGTAATTTCAGAGCCAGCCTGCTTATTGCTATTGGTTTCCAGTGCTGGATCCATACCCTCAGATAGGGGTGGGGTTGGGGGGGGGATAGATAAGTGGGGGGCCCGGTTTCCAAAAACATTTTTGTCAGCCCTTCAGGCACCAGTTTGGTTTTAAAATAATGGGAGGGGTGGGCCTTCTCGGGCCCCTCCCCTGGATCAGCACTGGTTTCCTCTTTGTCATTAGAAAGGCTATTTTTCTATACGCACTAGTGCTTTGTCAATTCTACAGTATTAGAGAAAAAAAGGGATATTGCTAGAAGTCTAACTTTTAATCTCTTAGTGTAATGTTATGAGAAGTTGATGTTAATAATATTGCCCCTTCACTGATTCATGCGCTACACGACTTGTAGCGCGCGACGCATTCTTGGCGGGCTGAAAAGAGGATATGTCTGGTAACTAATACTTTTTAGCGGTAATGGATGGATATCAACTTTTTTGCAGTCGATTTGATGGATACCACCCAATCCAAGAACGACTTGCGGATCATAATGGAAGCCAGTGTGGCTATTGTTCACCAGGATTTGTCATGAACATGTATAGGTATGTACCCTATCTATTACATTAATAATCAAAGTACAAGGCCCAGAAGGCCAGCACCATGACACAGGACAACCAATAGGGATTCACGTTCTGTAGAAGTAGAATAAGGCATGTAATCTGTAATTACCGAGCTCAGAAATGTGTGGGTAACCTATCGGTCCACTAGATAACTGAAACTATCAAATGAGCGTTTACTTAATAGTCTTCATTAGTAATCGGATCTGTTTATGATGATGAAACAAGCTTTGAAGGAATTTAATCGCCGTCAAGAGTGTCCATAATTTCTGACACCTGCGACATAAAACACAGGACCCTGTAAACTGACAGGTCGTATTCCTTTTTTAAAGCAGGATTTCAAAGGTGTTTTTTGTCAAAGGTTTATCACTGTTTTTCCTCATAATCGAGGGAAAAGCGTCATCGATTTGTAATTGGTATTTCATTTCTGTTTCAGTTTGTTGAAGGAGAATCCTAGTCCGACCAAACAACAAATTGAAGACAGTTTTGGTGGGAATATTTGTCGCTGCACAGGTAGTAATATGAAATGAAGATATGCTTTGGTTTTTAGTGTGGTTTTTAATGGTTGACCATAGTGGCTGGAAATTTCAATGAAGATACGATCGTCGTGGTGAGAATAGCATTTTAAGCAATTGCAAATTAACCCGAAAAAATGTCGGAAATTCAACGGTATTGGAACCCATGGTCTTTGCGTTAGCGCTGCAGTGCTCTACCAACTGAGCTATGAAGACCCATACATCGTCGGGAGCAGGCTAATTTGCTGAGTTCATCTTAATTCGTACCCTAGGTACCAGAGGTTTTTGTCTTGCGTGCGGCGGGAATTTTCGGTGTTGGCCGAATGAAGCCCGACATATCTTCGGCCCTACACTGTAGGCCTAAGCCACGAGCGGCGAAGTCGCGAGAAAAAAAGGGCGGGTCACTATAAAGACTTGACAGAAACCGGAAACTGCGCTATAGAAGAGTCTCTGGCGTCCAGGGTACTTAATCCGTGAAAGGAATGAAACATTGACTGAAGATGATGTGAACTGCGGAAATACGAATGTAAATGAAGATATGATCGTTACAGTGGTAATTTCAATTTAGGCAATTATAAATTAACCCGAAAAAATTTTTAACTTTAACTTAACAGGATTGAAATGTTCTTCTGTCGTTTTCTAGTTTCGATATTACTAACGCGGTGTCCCTTTTCACCAATTTAAATTGGATTGTGCTATCAAAAATCGGTAACCAATCTGTGATTAACCGCTTTAAAACCGAACCATTTCATTCTGGAGGTGCGCCGCTTGGTTGGTGATCTGTGAGTCTGTTCCCGTATTTTGTGTTCCATTTGGACTAGTTGGTATTCCATGTGAATCCAAACTGTCTATATTACCTAAGATGGAAAATGGACTGGCTACTAACAGAACTCCCCCGACTTTGCACATGGGCCGCGATTTCAAGCTAGACCAACGCTGGACCAATCAGCTTTTCTTTTGGGCCTTGTTTTAACGGTGGAGCTGTCCCTTTTTTCCGCTGGACATACAACGCTAGAAAGGGCAGGGGTACCTTTCTCTTATTTATTTAATATTTTACTGGCAGGTTATCGACCGATTTTAGATGCCATGAAGACATTTGCAAAATCCTCAGATCCGATAGATATTGAGGTATATAAAGTTATCTTATTTGTAGTTCAATTTTTATCGTAAGTAATACTTGCTCAAGTTGTATGGTGGAAACTGACAAGAAAATGACGACTCAAACCTCGATAGAAGTTCTCTGAAAAGTCGAAGACAAGACTCAATTGCGGCTTAGTTAACGCCCTTTTTGATCCCCTAGAAATCTGGCCCCAGTTGTGGGCCAGCGAATCAGTCAGTAGTAGAAAAAAAAAACAGTTGCTTTGTCCACTGGACAAATCAGATAGCGTTATCAGGCACCTTTTGAGCAATTGGGACCAGTAATAGTTAGGAGTAGGACATATTTACACACCCGCAATATATTAACCTGTAGACTACCCCCATTCCCTTGAGCTAGCGGTTACAAGAGAGGTTAAGCATCGACGACGGCGATGGCATCGAAAACGTCACTTATAAAATGAATCTGCGTTTTTTCAAACTTTGTCGCGTTTATTCCAACAGAAAATGTCGAATGTAGGCGAATTTCCCTGGAGTTGATTTCTTGGGGACCGGACTCAAGTTTAGAAAGAGAAAGAAAAGGTCGTCGTCGCCTTCATGTTCTTCATAAAACGTGAAATTAGGCATTTTCACGTCGTAGTTTTTCAGTTACGGCAACGAAATGTACAACAAAGTGTGATGCACGTGCAAAGTGTTTGTTTTGCTAATCAAACATATTGCTTTTTTGCCGTCCGCGTTGCCGTTGCCGTCGTCGTGGTCGTTGCTAAAGCTCTCTACTAAATCCGCCGAGCTCAGTTTTATTTCCAAACGCGAGCTCGAAGATCACCAAAGAGAAAATAGAGGGTCTGTGAACAGGCTACCTGAATATTACCTGGGTCGCTGTAAACTGTCTTGGTAGGAAATAGCAAGGTGTCCAGGTTCTTGCTGCAATGGAGAGATGCAGTGTTCAAGAAAGTGTGTGACATCACCTGGCGATCAGATTGACAGCTTAATTTGGTACTGTCCAACATCCAAGTCTGATTTGTATGCATTGATGACTAAATATAAGAGCGATAAGATCAGGCTGGTAGCTGGAAATACTGGAAAAGGTATGTGTATGTAGTTTTGAAGTGATGAATATATGAATGTCATATATTTGATACGCAGACTGAAGAAATAAACGCAGAGAAGATCATCGCAGTTTAAGCTCTTTTCCACAAGAATTCGGACCTTTTTTTTTTCTACTGCGGATTTGTGAAACGGGGCCTTAAACCGTTCTGGAGAGCGGAAACCAAACAGTGCGGTTTTGATGAGCGGATTCACTAGGGAGCTTAAGCAACAACAACGACGACGGCAGTGAAAATATCTTCGCGTGTATTTGTAGCCTGCGTAGCAAGCGTTTCTGTGCGGTTTAGGAGCAAAGAACGAGGAACAAGAGTCAAAGACCCCCCTTTCATTTTTTGGTTCTCACGCGATCAAAACCGAAAATCCACGTCTATTTTTTGGAAAACCGCTCAGTTCAGTTCGTCAATTGTAGGCGACTTTTCCTGGAGTTGAATTTTTAAGGTATTAATCCATGTTCAAATGGAGAAAGGAGAATTTGTCGTCGTCAGTGTCTACGTCCTCCATGAAACGTCGCATTGGGAGGTTACACCTCGTGGTCGTGCAATGGACGTCAAAGATAATTCAAATGTACTAAAAAGCTTGATGGACGTGCAGAGCAGTTGTTTTGCTGATAAAACCAATTTTTTGTTTGACGTTGTCGTTGTGGTCCTCATCGTAGTTGCTTAAGCTCCCTAAGTACCGCTTTCGCGTGGACGGAGAGTTGCCTAGTCCCTAGGCCTCATTATTCCGCGCGGCTAAAGCGTTTCGGGTTACGTGGTCCAAGCGCAAATGTGAGGCGTTTCCCGCCCGTTCCCTTCGGATACGTCACCCAAGTGAATTGACCAAGAGGGACTGGGAAAACGCTGTATTCATGTAAAATGTATGGGTTTTCAAAAATATCCGGATTCGTATGAACGCAGCCTAAACAGCAACGTTTGCAGTTGCGAAAGGAAAGCCAGGAAAAATTATGTTTAGTATGAATAGAGTTATGAAATAAACAAATCATTTAGACGATTTCTGGGAAGGTTTAGAATAAAACGAAAGGAGATAAATTTTAAGCTTTTTATTACGTTTTGTGCAGGTATTTACAAGAAGGATGGCCCTTTCGATGTCCTGATTGACATCAGTCAAATTAAAGAACTGCACACCATTCCAAGTAGAAATGAGGTTTGTATTTACAACATTTCTTTACGCAACTGAAAATCTCTCTTTTGAATTATCTGTAAAGCATTTTGTATGTCGGAATCCTGGTTTGCAATTCCGAGGCCGACCGTCATTTGTTTTACAGTGCGGATGTATGTACTTTGTAGTTTAGTTGATAATCGTACGCCTTTTTGTTTGACACAAGTTTGATTGCAGAAAATGTTGCAGTATATTTACTTTGGTACCGTACCTGACAGTATCAGGCCGGAAACCAATTCCCCCATATGGCTATGAGTTTCCTTAAGCTGCAACGTTCTTTGTTTTCATTGTAGGCACCAAATGGTAGTGTTGTAGTCGGCGCTTGCGTGCCCTTGAACACTTTCATAGATGTGCTGGATCACATAGCCAGCGCATGGGAAGGTTATAAAGTGATCGCTGACCATATACGAAAGGTAAGTGCCGGAACACATAGTAATCAGTATCACAGAAAAATTCAGGAAAAAAATCCTAAGTCAGGAAAAAATCGGGGTCAAGACAGTGAAAAGTGGGAATTTTATTTTGAGATTGTCACAGAAGGATTCGTGAAGTTTATGAACGAAATTTGATACGGTACAACTGTAGTATGATTATTTTTGCTACTCAGAGTCCTGTAAGAAAAACTAGATTTTTTGGAGCAGTGAAAGAATTGTGACATGTCTGCTTAGTGAAAACCTTTCTTCTCCTCAAAGAGTGACGACTCTGTTAACGTATTTTCTCCCAAAATAAGCATAGTGTGACTCACATCATCTGAATCACCACCCTTCCTACCCGCACCCCCCTACGTACACACAGGCACGCAAAAATCACGTTACGTGACAGGGTAGGACAGTTAAGTATGGGTCAGCAACAGCTGCTAACAAAGGTTTTTATACAGTTGTGCTAGAGCTTGAGTTGTTTGTTATCTTTCACAGGTGGCAAATGTTCCGGTCAGAAACGTGAGTTGTATACCTTGATACAATTTCTAAGCTCCCCTTCTCACTCCTGATAGTGGCCAAAGAAAAATTCACAAAAAAATCAAATTTTTGGTTGTAAAATCCAAAGAAAAATAGGCACCAAGTTAAAGATCTGCCAAAGAGGTTCCATCTGAATGGTAACATCCCTGCACAGGGTTTCGCCCGCAAAATGAACTAAGGTCCCTTCCTCACGAATCCGGGCAGGCTGAAGCTGCATACGTAATTAAATTCGATAATATCCAGTTTCAATCATGAATGCGAATTCCCGGGATCAAGAAGGTGCGATTTCGGTGAGTGGATACACTGGTTTCGTGTGGACTAACGGCCGATTCTTGTAAAAACAAATATGAGGTTAAAAAATATCCAGATTCTTGTTAATATCGACTACCCAGCACTTGAAAACCGTATTTATAATATACCGCATCAAATGTTTCACCTTCTTCCCCTGTTATACAGTTTTATGAAAACCTACGTTACTGCCTTTTTTCACTCAGGTTATGCAAAACGACTTGAGAAATTCCTACCAAGTAGGCAGCTATTTTTCAATTCGTTCGCCCAAACCTTAATTACTAGTCCCAATCTTTCTTTCGAAACATTTTTTTAGGTTGGCAGTATTGCTGGAAACTTAATGTTGCTTCACGATCACCCTGGCTTTCAGTCAGACATCGCTCTTCTTCTTGAAACCATTGGGGCCTCACTGATCGTTGGTAAGACTTCATGTTACACGAGACGCCGTTCATGGTATTTAGTTAGGGCCTGTTTACATGGAGGTGTGGTACTCCAGGTAGGTAACTCGCTTATCCACATAATCTCTCATTTTAATTTGATCACCTTTACAAGATAGGTGGGGCGACCATATGAGAGATTATATGGACAGGCGGGTTACCCCACCTAAGGAGGTTACCTCACCTACCTGGGGTTTCCCACCTCCATGTAAACAGGCCCTTACAACTAGGCAATTAACATGGCTTTATCTCTTTAGGTGACAGCTATTCAAGCACAGAAGCTGAATACACTCTGTCAGCGTTCAACAAGTTAGACATGACTGGCAAGGTTCGATTGTCTTCCAAGTTGTTAAAGATGTAGCGTCCATACCTACTGTCGAAATTTTAAACCTACTTAGTTTAACTACAAATTGTGTTCGTGTTTCAGGTTATCTTAGCAGTTTTGTTGCCCGTGTATACGAAGGACTGTGTCATGCGTTCCTACAAAGTTATGCCAAGAGCTCAGGTACCACAATTTTTAAGACCCGTTGTCCTTGAAGGCATTCTACGCAATACTTAGTTTTAATTACTGTGGAAAATACGCGTGGAGTAGATATCCGCTCTTTAGTGTTCATATGTGAGTCCTCTCTGGAGCTAAATGACTGTACATTAGCTCTGAAGTGCATTCGGCTAGCCAATCAAAGCATAGGATTCGCATTATATTTCTCCCTTTCTAACAATCATGGTTTATACCCTAGAAATGGGCCTGAGCTTAGATTGAACTGGTCGCTCAAGCAAAGCTCGGGCCAGTTTGACTGAACAAGAAGTCTTGGAAGAAAACTTAAATACCAAACCCTTTTAATTAACTCACTTGTAGTTATTTGTAGTTTTCATAACGGAAGTCTAATATCCAAGACAAATACATGTTCAACATTTGTGTTATTCCCTGAGAAACAGTAGGTCTGGGGCTTTGCTTTGTGCTCATAGTCCGTGATGGAAGTCTACTTCCCGTCCATCCAAAACATTTATAAAATCAAAGCGACAAGAGTACAAATCCATCAGTAACCATGGACGTTGGTTGATTAGTAAAAACACTTTTGTCTAGGTCCACAAGCTTGCCAAAACACATGACCAATAATTTCCATATAAGACGTGCCCTACAAAGAACAAGTTTCTATTGCTTGAGTTTTGTTTATTTCTGAATTTTTAGAATGCCCACGCCTATGTGAATGCGGGATTTATTGCTCAGGTGGACTCTTCGACCATGACTGTAAAGCTTGCCAGCCTTGTCTTAGGTGGTATAGGGCAATATCCAGTAAGTACTTTTTCTAAGTGGCTCATTTAAATGGATGCCTATAACGTACACAGTGTATTGACATGGAGAGATCTCTTTGTAGATTATTTAAAAAAACATCCTTTTGTGCCAGCTTTCCTCCTTTGCAGCCAGTGGCTGAATTGCGGAGGAACCAGAGAGGTGAGACCGGACGTCAGCATGTTAAGGCGCACTCTTGCAGCCATATCAGTCCTTGTTTTGATCACACCTCGCCCACCCAGACCGATGACGGCACAATTCAGATAGACCATGACATCGGGGCCTATGTCTCCTACTCTTTTCGAACGCTGTCACGGGTTCTTTTACGTCCCCTTCCAAATGAAGTACAAGGATGAAGGAAACAAGGCCAACGGCTTAACGTCACCGCCAAATGACGCGATCATCTGAACCAAGAAAGGGGTTTCACAGCTTGCATGATCTCACCAGTTTTTTTTAAAGACCTTGGTTGATGGTCCGGCCGCTGTTTGAGCTCACGACTTCCCACTCAGCAGACCGGCGCTCTTCCAACTGAGCTAACCGGGCGGCGATCATGATTGGATCATATCATTTAATGCTTTAAAAAAGTCGGGGAGCAGTGATGAGAGCACTCGCCTCCCACCAAAGTTGCCCGGTTTCAAATCCCGTCGTCGACGCCATATGTGGGTTGAGTTTGTTGTTGGTTCTCTTCTTTGCTCCAAGAGGTTTTTCTCTGAGTTACTCCTGTTTTCCCCTCTCCTCAAAAACCAACATTTCCAAATTTAAATTTGACCAGGAATCATGTTGACGAAGAACCAGACAGTGGATTTGTTACCTCTCTAAATCGTTTTTTATTTAAAGGTGGACTCCTTTTAAAGGGATTGTTGCTCTATTTTGTTCTTTACTAAAGTTAGGAGCGTGCAGGCTTAAGGCTTATTTTACTGTTTTACACTTGTACTAGCAGTAATACTAGTTACTTGCACTAGTCATTTCTCAATGCTTTCTTACTTTTCTCACTACAGTATCACGCCAAGAACACGGAGACATTGTTAAAAAATAAAGTCGTGACAGACCAGACCACTCTCAAAGGTGATGATACTTCTATTTACCACGACTAGGTTACTCGAAATATGATTAAGTTTAACCCAGGATTAAGCTAAAGTTTTCGCTAAGTTTGTTTTGTCTAAAAGCATGTAACTCGTGCTCATAAGATATTGTTCAACCTTTACTCCAATATGCTACAATTATGGTAAGATAAAATGCCTCTCTAAACATTACTATAGGATGATATTTATATGAACGCACAAATATTTCAGGAACAGGGCCTAGATTCGTATAGACAGATATTGCTTGACTAATAGATAAAAAGGATTCCATGGCAAGATATCTAAACACTTGCTTTGATGTTTCCAGATGCCTTGAATTCTTTAGCTAAAGAAATCAGTCCTAATTCTTCCCCCCTCGGTCCAAGTGTGAAATACCGAAAATCAGTGGCACTTAGCTTGTTTTACAAGGTGAGTAACAAGTCGGCTTGAAAACACTGACAAGGCGGTATTTGTGATAAGTAGTATTGGATTTCGCTTAAAATTAAAACTTGCTGCTGATTTTGGTGAGCAGACTTGAAATAGTCCTTTGTTGTTTTGCTTGAAACCAACTCTTTTTTTCCAGATTCCACTGAGGCATTTTCATTTAACACAATTTTCTTTTAAATTCCATTTTGAAAATTGAGCTATATTCATTGTTGTCTAGGAGCGTGGCGAAAATTTTTCAATGAGGTGAGATGAGGGAAGGGGTATACTGTGTGACACCCAGAGTAGTATAGTGGAAACCGATTAGATCACTTTTTTGCGCGTGAAATCTCATTTGTTTGTGCGTGAATGCATTACAGTCAACTCTCTCCAAGACAGACACCTTTGGGACCGGCACTAGCTGTCCGTCTTAGAGAGATGTCCGTCTTATAGAGAGTCAAATAGAGGGAGGAAAGAAAGGAAGGGACCAACACTAGGTGTCCGTTTTGCAGAGGTGTCCGTGTTATAGAGGTGTTCGTTAAGAGGGAGTCGACTGTAGCGCCATCGTAGCCTTTTGTATTTATCTCTGAACAGAAATTTTTCATCGGCGCTTGTGTTTTCCTGCCTGCACAAAATTAACGAGTTTCCTACGTGAAAGAGGGGTCTAACCTGTCCATGCTATGCTACTATCCTCGGTATGTACCAACGAAGTCCATACGGTATTTTTTTTGAAAGTGACATTTTTTCGGATAAGCAGAGAAATTGAGGAGAGTTACAATCCTTAAAAATAGCTGTATAGATGAGTCACGTGGCGAGAAGGACCAAATATGTTGTCTATATAAACCAATTTTTGGAACGATTGATGAAATACGACAAATTTTTAACAAAGAAAGCTTTCAAGTGATGGTTTTTGGCAAGCAGTTGGATAGAAGTCGGCCGAGGCAACGGCAGTTAATTGTACAATCTTAGCGTGGATCTTGGTTTATAAATTTTCTAGCGTTTCGCGGAAAAACGAAAAGCGATCCCAGGAACCACAATGTCCTCTCTTGTTACACCCCTGTTGATTATTTATTTAATGAGGGCCTGCCCTTATGTTGAATTGTAATTATTATTATTTGCAGTTCTATTTGTCTCTTCTTGGAGACAAAGCCTCTGCAAGGGTGCGGTCAGCGGCAGAGCCTTTCATTCGCCCTGTATCGTCTGGTACTCAGAGCTATGACTCCAAACCCGAAGATTACCCGCTTACAAAACCTATGACCAAACTTGCTGCCAAAGCACAGGTGAGAAATGTTTATTGTATAATGCCTTTTCCTTTCTAGCGACTCATGTTTAGACTTGCGGTGTTTGCAGGTATAAGCACAAACAGTATTCATTTAAGACGTTCTTTAGACTGGAACGTCACCACCTCTTAAAAGAAAAGACATTTGCGGAAATACAGCGGTCATGAATCAAAATGTAGGAAATTTGTCAACTCTCGACCATCACCATTCTCGCGTTAAAGAACGCGGACTATACCTGTTAGCAATTCGTGGTCCTCAGAATTAGCGCAGAAGCAGCCAGTTGTTGCTGTCCTCTGCTAACAACTCCGTCTATGAAGTTTAACCATAAAAATGTACTGTTACAAAAGAAGGTATTAGTTTTTTTACTAACAATTGCTGTTTTCAGACATCTGGAGAGGCTCAGTACGTTTCTGATATTCCCACGCAAGGTGGCGAGCTGTGTGCTGCTTTTGTAGTGAGCACTCAGGTAAGATTAAGACACAAACGTCTCCTAGATACATACATACATTTAAGCATTACATTTAACTAATTACATTACTCAACCTAGTACTAATTACGACCCTTTTTAAACTTAGCTAAGAAGCATTTCCAAAACGAAAAAAGCTGGTTCCTTAAGAGACGTTTAAAAATTGAACAGATGAGCTTAATTTAAGAGAAGGTTCTAAATTGTTCCAAAGCTAAAAAGGTCTTTGTCCGCAGGCTGTTCTGAAAAGAGGGCTGAAAAAGGTTCTTGACCAGTAAAAAGAGATTCTGGGGCTATTTCAATTGTATATTAACTTAATCCAATCCAAAGCGTACATTTCACATACTATGACCAAACGCTTAGTCATCAATGATGACAAAACAAGAGGGAAAAGGGCTTTGCCGGCTGTCGTCTGCTCTCAAAAGCTGTCATGTTTACTTTTTATTCCTGTCTAGGAATCGAATGTTTGACTTCCTTTTGCTCGTGACAAAACGAATCCGAAATTTGCTTCTTTTTTTGTTGTTGTTTACTTTTTTTAGGTTACTTATATTGTAAAATATTTTTTACTCTTAGGGAAACTGCAAAATAAACACTGTTGATACATCGCAAGCTTTGGTAAGGAAAATGTGCATATTCCATTTCAAAAATTAAATTCGGTTGCATACAGACATATAATTGTGAATCTCATTTTTTTATTTGTTGCCTAGAAAATGCCTGGCGTTTTACAGTATATTACAGCATCAAACATCCCTAAAGGAGGCGTGAACAATTTTATGCCCGCTGGATATGACCCAGAAGAGGTAATAACGCAGGCTTAAGTCGATAATCATTGTTTCGTTTTTGTATATTTGTTTAGTAATGTTACCATTAAACAGCTTTGCTTAAACTTGAATCTGATTCTCAGGTGGAATCAATCTTTTCTAATCTATTATGAAACATTCTCGAGTGTGGCCTATTTCACTTTCTTTGTGGCCAAGTATTTCTGTTACTAGAAAAGAATCGCCTTTTGTTTTATTATTTGTTCTTATCATACTGAACCCAAGACAGGCTGAAGTAATTCCTTTTTTATCAGTAGCTGGTCGACAACACATTAATCCATTAATCCAATTCCTTTCTGCTGCTGTAGCGTGGGCGAATGTATTGTCATACTAGAGAGATTAAGATTCACGTTTACGGCATACGACAAACGGCAAACGTCAGTTTAGAATTTCTCAGAATAGAAAATAAGCAGGTAAAAACAGTCCAGAACGATTCTTGTGGACAAAACTGGCATAAAACTACTTTATTTTTTGTGTAGAAGCAATAAACAGTAAACGAAAAATAAGGGGAAAACCTGGTTCTGATTCACGTTTGCCGTTTGGCGTAAACATGAATCTTAATCTCTCTACTGTAAGGAAAAAAACGGATGTACTGAACAGCCTTTATTTCTGCTATTCTGATGCAAATTTTGAGAAAAAACGGATTACTTTTGCCCTTTTGTGCCTTTTGTTTTTCCTGTTGCATAAATGTTCTCTCACTTTTTTTGCACATAATACATTCAATTTGTCGACCAGTTCCTGACTAAATATCATTGTAGCATAGCTTTTGTAAGTCGCACCTGAACTCTTTTAAAGGCTAAGATGAAGTTGATTTTGTTTACAACAGTTACTCTGCAGTGGAAATGTTTTGTTTGCTGGTCAGGCTCTGGGACTGATAATTGCTGGTAAGTTACATAAACACTCCTGAAGCTTCCTTTTCCAAAACTGAGTATGAACTGATCGGTCAGCTATAAATAAGGTAGTAGAAAGTAACTAAATAGGTAAAGAGCAGTAATGAAAGTATCATAACTGATTCTGTCTTTAACCCAGATTAGCTTCGGGCGCTTAACTAAAATCAGTATTGGCTGCCAGGTTGGTAATTTTGAATATGAGGCAGGCTATTTTTGAGAGTTTTCACTTGAAACGCTTCCTTGCATACCTCTTAGTAACAGACAGAAGTTGCTGTACAGCTCTGATTAGTAGTGGAATTCGGTGGTGTGGATTCATGAAACTTCTCCCTTAAAAAGTCACAATTTGTAGCAATGTAAAACAGAAACGTTCGCTCAAACACCTTCGACATTCACCGCACCACGTGTGTCATAGCTTGTATAGAGCGTTTTCACTCACATGGCCAACAAATATGCAAATTTATGAGAACAAAAGAAATTGTTCACTTTAGAAAAGAGTCCAACTCCCACAGGTTTTGTTTGGAACACCAACTTGGCCGCCGCTTCATTGTTTTGGAACACCAATATGGCCGCCGTGACGTCATGTGAAAACGCTCTATACCCTCTCATTTTTTTCGTTTTCTGTTGTTGTATATATCATTTATTTATTTTGCTTTGAAAATCAAGTATAACTGGTGTTGGATACGTGCACTATGTGGTGTAAATGACATTTCAAACTAAAGCTAGAAACTAGAAACAATTGAACACTGCGAGAGCTGTGTGACGTATCGCGTTACATTATAATTCGTTTTATTTTATATGTAGTGTGATTTGACTTTATTGTATGAGCCTGCAATCCTCGTGGTTGCAGTTTGTCGCCATTTGTCGCCATGTTTGTGTTAGTAAGAAATTTGGTGATTAAAGCCTAATATTCTCCAGGCAAACGTCTTCACAACACACTAATAACCTCAAACGCGAAATTTCATCCTTACAATCCATTTGAACATTTACTTGTACTAATTACAAGTGGAAATACGGAGTTCTGACAGCATTTCAATGTTTGCAGACACCCAGCGTCATGCAGATGAAGCTGCTAAAGCTGTGAAAGTAACTTACAAAGAACAGAAGCCTCTGATTCTCACCATAGATGAAGCTATTGCGGCTAAGTCATTCTTCGATCCCCAGGCTAAACCGCTGAAAAAAGGCGATGCAGCCGGTAGGGTGCTTTCACCTTAAAAATATGTTGATGAAGCGTTTTTTCTTTGTGTACTGTATGCATTGGTGTAGTCTGCGTGGTGGGTGTTCGAAATAATAGGAAAAGGATATTTGAGGCGCGAGGGAATCGCAAGGGGTGCGCGAGGTAGGAGGGAGGGGAACCCTTCCCTCCTTCCTCGCGCGCTCCTCGGGCTTTCCTCGCGCTTAAAATCTCCTCTCCCTTCCCTTTCGAACGCCTGTCACGTAGGCTAGCGGGGGTACTAGCCAACAAACCACGTTATTGATGTCTGTTAACTGATAGTTCCATCGTGTTAACAGCGAAACTTTTCAAACCTCGATCTTGAATGTAATCAACAACAGCTTTCTGCGCCTGATAATTATCGGGGCTTTCGAGAAATGAGTCCCTGGCCCCGGTTTTTCAAACGTTGAATGGCGCTCCCCAGCGGATAAACCACTAATTTAAACGTTTTATCTTTGGTTATCGTTTTCGATAACTTAATTCGATAACTTAATTCTACTTTTTCTTTCTTTCCTAAACTGTAACTTTAGAGCAAATAATCTTTATCTCCCTAACAAAATTCTATGGTTGTTTCCTAACAGCTGCTATTCAAAACTCACCGCATGTCGTGCAGGGATCCATATATACTGGTCATCAATATCACTTTCACATGGAAACACAGGTGAGAAGACATGATAAAAAGAGAGAAATAGTCAAGCTTGTTTGCATGCACAGGAGCAAGTCTCCTTTAAGTTTTCTTTCCAGATATTGTGACTAGTACAGGCCCAAATTGTAGAGGAAGAAAAAAACAGCAGGACTAGAAAAAGCAATTTCATATAGTTCTTTTATTCACTTATCAGGTCTTAAATTGAGGGTACAGTTTTACAATACTTATACTTACAATACTGCCATTTCTTTGTGGTCACTTTGTGGCCTGTGGCTAGTGAGTCTACTTAGTACTAAGGTAAACCCTCAAAAGTATGACCAATAACGGCTACCTGAAGTAACCGCATAAGCTGGTATCCATCCCGTATAAATAAAGTGTCATGATGAGCCTGTGATATCAATTCGTTGAGTGGTCGTATCGTATTAGCAACTGTTTTATAAGATTCAGTCATTCATTATATATTACTTATGACCGTTGTTCTCTAAAGGGACAACGTGGCTCAAATCAAACGGCAAGATAAAAGATTTTGTCATTGACGTTTGGTCCTTTGTTTGGCGATAAAACAGGTAGCGTTGTGTGTTCTCCAAGAAGATGGGATGACTGTTCACTCGGCGACCCAGGGAGTAGATTGCACACAGGCAGCTGTTGCACAGACCTTGAATTTCCCGGTTCAGAGGTATGGATACTGAACTTCCTCCTGCTAGAACACCTCCCTAATCAAGTCTAGTGATCCGCTGAAAGAATGACTATCCCTGCTTTATGACAGTATTTATTGTGAAATAGACCTGTCCACAGTTTTTTCAACTTTTGACATGGACTAGTCAGGGACAATCCGTTGACATCAATGGAAAGAGCACCTTAAAATCTGTAAAATCGCCAAATTTGAAAGCGATGCGTCTTACGCGAGCGTAGATATAGCTTCGCAAAGTTGCGAAAATTTACAGAAGTTTGTGTATGTGCCCCCCACCATACAAACGCCGTCTGTAAAATTTCACGTCTTTGAAAAGCTATATCTTCGTTAGTTTTAACAAATCACGCAGTTTTACTAATTTTAAGGCGCTCTTTCCAGTAGCGTCGACGGATTTTCCTTAACTTGTCCATGTCAAAAGTTGAAAAAACCGTAAAAAGGTCTATTCGACCGGGTCCAGCCAATCTTCCCGCGTTAGACCGCGTTATTTTTAAGCGTACAAAAGCGTAATTTCTTTTATTGTTTTTGTTTGTCTTTCCTTTGTTTGTATCAAGTATTAACATGAGCGTGAAGAGGTGCGGGGGTGCATATGGAGCAAGAATCACTAGAGCCAATCAGATCGCCACAGCTTGCGCTTTAGCTGCTTACGTCACTAAGAGGTAAAATTCCATAAAAGAGGGTCGTTCTTGTTGACCTTGTCGCCTTTGATATAATTAGATATAAATATTGGGTTTTTACGGACGCATACTATTTAATTCTACTCATTGCTAGGTTATGAGCGAACTATTCGACAAGGTTTAGTTCTCCTAAGAAAATTTTGAGAAACGTTTGATCGCATTCTTCTAATTTCAGTTTCCGATGACGACGATGATGAAAGTAGGGAGCTTAAAACGACGACTACGCTAATGAAAACGTCACTAAAAAAATGAATTTGCGTTTCTTCAAACTTGATCGCGTTTCTTTAGCTTCGCTCAATATGCCGAATGATGGGGAATTTTCCTGGAGATGATTTCTTAAGCATTGTATCAAAGGAACATTTTGTCGTCGTGTGTTCACGTCCTTTATAACACGTCTCATCAGGAAGTTTTATCTCCTACTCGTGCAATTGACTTTGATGAAATGTATAAAAAAATGTGTGATGGACCTGCAGTGTTGTTGTTTTGCTTATAGTCCAATCGTCTTTTTTTTTTTTACGTTCTCGTTGCCGTCGACCTCATGATTCATGATGATAACAATGATGATGACGATGGTTGTGATGATGAATGGTTTGAATTTTGTAAGTGCGAGATTTGATTTTTTCATAGCTTCAAACCTACAAATTGCGATTATTATTTTAATCACGTTTTCAGGCCAGTTCGCATGCGGTTGGATCTAAACACGAACATGGAGTTGGTTGGATTAAGAGAACCATATAAAGCAACTTACAAGGTAACCAAAAACCCGCGTAGAAACCAGTCTTAAATTTGATAAGAGAGCGGTGGCTTTCATGTTACCATTTCTATCTTCTTCAGTTCTTTAATTTGTCTGCTTAGTACTTCATATCCTGAAACGATTTGAAAGACAGTTTAACGTCAGATGCAGTTACGAGATTTGAAACCGAAGAGACCGAATATCAGCACGTAAATGCCATAATAATCAAGCGTAAAAGCAAAACTGGGAAAGAAAACAAAGAAAACAAGTCGGCAGAGGTCGAAAGTGTGCTTAAAAAGCAGGGGTGTCGATTTTCATCTTGCCCAATCCCGATAAATACTAGATTTATGTTATTGAAAGGGGCAATGCAGACCACTTGTTAAACCAAATCGTGTTCCGGACATTAGAGGGGTAAACAGCATATTTTGAGAGAAATGATTTTCTGCTACTGTTATTTACAAAATCGTTTTCCTGATTTCACTGCAAGGCAATTGAAATCCTGCGAAATGATTGTTAGAAACTATCTGAAACGTTTGTGCCGTTGTTGATGGTACCTAATTTACTCGTTTATCATTTACTGATGTTGCATTCCTTTTGTGTCCTTGAATTACGAGCACCTATCCCTGATAAGCACACTAACCATAGCTTGAGTATTTGGTGTAGGTTGGAGTGGCAAATGATGGCAAACTGAATGGTATTGATATGAACCTATATGCAGATTGTGGTTCCAGCCCCAATGATCTTGATGTGGGTTATGCTCAAACATTGGCTGACAATGGTAACTAGTATTTTATTATATACATACTGACATCTACTCACTGAAAACCTGTGACGTAAATATTTGCATAGGCAAATGAGTTCTAGCCAGTCAGAGGAGCGAAAAGATACGTCTAATCGGAATCGCGAAAGATGTTTTTTCACGTGTGAGAAAAATGATACGTCCAATCAAAAGCCACAGAGGTGTGTGAGTTTCGCGTCAAAATTCCCGCCTTTTATAGGCGCTTGCAACTTGCAGCGCCCTCGCTTTGCGAGTTGCTTCGCAAACATTCAACGAGAGGCGATCGTAAAGTAGAGTTTTTATCGCAGAAAAGAGAAAAACATCTCGGAAATTGGATTGAAATAGTTTTGTATCTTTATACAAAAAAACTGTACCTTCGATGAAGAAAATTGAAGAGAGCCGGCTAAACAACAACGAAAGTTGTATCAGAAATCTCACTTGTTCGCTGCGATCTCTCGTTTGATTTCTGATGCATCAACCACTCGTGCGTAAATACCGTACGCGCACACTTTCCATGAAATATTCTATATATACTCATCCTAACCTTCAGCACATGGCATTCTGGTGTGCACATATACCTGTTACCCATAAACCTTTGTAACAGAAAAACCCCATTAACAAGTGGACCACAATTTCATTGCACAAAATAACACGCGCTTGAAATTTCACCTTTCCAATGTCCGTGCGCTCATGCGAGCGAGAATTTCCAGAGCTAATGTAAGAAAGCATAATGTAGGAATCAGAACTATAAGAAACGGAAGTTTCACTCGAGTGCACTTTATTTGAGTGTCAAATTTAGCACGAAAGGAATAATTGGGGAGACTCTTTTTTATGCCTCATACTGGAGAAGAGACCCGCCAATTTACGTTGTCATGGCAGCTACGCTAAGGTCCAGCTGTTTGCAGGGCAAAGGAAGCACCTGCATTTCTTAGTTATTTTAAGACCCTAAGTATTAGTCCGGTTCAGGATTCGAACCCACAACCTTCCGCTCTGCAGCCAAGCGCTCTGCTGACTGAGCTAATCCCAACTAACATTGTTAATCTTAGCTGTTTCGCGGGAACATGTCTCACATGAGCCTGGTAAATGGCCGAGATCACCTTGTTAGTAATGGAGTTACGACCGTGCCAAAATTTAGTAGCGTTGTAGATGTTATAGATCGCATCAGTTCCTAGGACGAATGTGACGAGCAAACCGCGCGTAAATTTTGGAAAGACCCTGTTTTATTGTTTTCCACTTTTCTTGTGTCTGTTAACATGTATTTGATATCCTCTTGTATTGTAGCTTACTTCTGTCCTAACTGGAATATCGTTCCTTACGCTACTCGCACTCACACACCAGGAAACACATGGTGCCGCGCTCCAGGTATGTTGCCCGTGTTCCTTTAACCCTCCTAGACCTCTATGTATTTTTAAAAGGGCCTGTGTCACGAAATGTCGGCAAATTCAGCGGTTAGGAACTATCCGCTAAACTAGCAGTTTCGATTTGAAAGTAAGTGGTGGCATCAGAGCTGAAAGGCAATATTATAATACGAACAATACAGAAAAGCAGAAAACCGGGGTATCTGGAGAAAAACCTCTCGGAGCAAGGGAGAACCATCAACAAACTCAACCCACATACATGTATGGCGTCGAGGCCGCGATTTGGACGCGGGCCACATCTGTGGGAGGCCAGTGCTCTCACCATTGCGCCACCCTTGTTAAGTGATGAATACCGAGGAATACAAATTATTTTTATGTGTTTTGCTGCTCCACTATGTCAACAATTTTTGCCGATTCGCAGGGGGCGATTTAAAATGAGAAGATTTCGACGCAAGGATATCAACGATTTTAATGTGGTGGACTCGGCAGTAGCCTGCGTAGCAGGTACTTGTCAACGCGACAGTCAAATAATTTTACAGTTGAGGTTGTGTAACAGACAAAACTGGAGTCAAATAAGAAACTGATGCAGTTTCAAACAATCACCGGGGGCGTTTAATTGGAAAAATGCGGTATTACAATAACAGGGTTTTTTTTTAGCGATATTGTGTTTGTTCTCTTAGCTTCCACCCAGGCAGTGTTTTTCATGGAATCAATGATGGAACACGTAGCCAAAGAACTGAAGCTGACACCAGAGCAAGTCAGAAAAGTGAATCTGTACCAAAATGGCCAGGTAGGGTTAATGATAAAGTGTGGTTATAACTAATAAGAGACGCGAAATAAAACAGTCATTATTTAAACAACTGCGAAACCTCCCTAGCGGCGAGGAACAAGAAGTGACGGCTGTATTCACAGGGTAAAATATATTTGCGGCCTTGTAAATATCCTCTGCTTTCAAAGACACTGAGATAAAACAAACAAAAAAGAATTAAAAGCAATTTTGTTTTGCTCTGAGGTGAATTCACTTTCGAGCTAGCCAATCAGAGCGGGCAGAAAGCGCTATTCGCGAATGGGTATACATTAAACAACCATATGATCCGAAGCTAGACCTTTATTTTTCCTTCAAGGCTTTTTTAGAAAGAAAATTATATTGACCGAAATAGTTATGATATCCCTTTTGGAAAAATGGACGTCACTGAAACCGACAAATGGCTTGAGTTGCTCATATCATTGTACGATATAACACCACTGTTTCTATGTTATTCTACAGGAAACGCAAACGGGAGAGACACTCAAATACTGTACCATATCTACACTGTGGAATGGTAATTTTTGTTGTAGTAATAATAATAAATACATGAGGTATATATTACTCTGAAAAATTCGGTGAACTCAAAGCAGTGCCAGAGATGCTTACAACAAGTGAAGACAGGAGGCTCCTGGTCAAGACTAAGAATACAAACCCTGACTCGACCGCAGTCGTCTCTTACTATTTGCAAGCGGTCAAGGAACGGTCGCGCGAGACTGTTATGGCAATTGTTGCGAAGGGCTTCCCATCATCTCCCTCACTTCTCTTGACCGCGCGTCTCTCGTTATCATAACTGGAGACGAGTCAGATACAAACCCTGGATTTTGCAGTTTACGCTTTTATGAAGGCATTGAACATCTCCTACAGCTACAAATGGTTCACTGAGACAGACGATAACTGATACCGTGCAGGGGCGGATCTAGGGGGAGGGTGCAGGGGGTGCGCACCCCCCCCCCGAGATGACCTGCGGTTTTCTAATACAACTGGTATTCTGCAAAAAAAACTATGTGGTTTATTGGTGTTGAAGTAGAGCAAGAGACGAGTGCACCCCCTCCTAAAAAAAATCCTGGATCCGCCCTTGCCGTGTCTACCTCCGTCATTTACTATTCACTTGTTCATCGCTTTGCCATCAGAATCAGTTTGCCATCTTATGTCTTTGGTGTTGTGTACTAGAGCTGGTCATTTATTGATACTGTTTCACTTTACATTTGAATATTCATACTTAAGTTCTGTAAGTAACTTCCGAATACCAAGGACTACTGCGGTTTGGTTAATTAAAGATACAAGGAAACACTACCCCTCCCCCCCAAAGAAAAGCATGGTTGGTTTTGTAAAGTCTTCGTTGATGTACACAAGAAAGTGTTTGAGATAAAGCTAATCACGTTATGTTGGTAGAAGATGTTAAAAGGTATTGTTTCTTTTCTGCCATCTTTTTAGATATTCTCTCGACTAGCGACTTCCAGAACAGAAAGACTGCAATCGACACCTTCAACAAGGTACATGAGCGTTTAACTCTTCTTCAAGAGCCAGATTATTTTATTTTCATAGTATTTATTTCAGTCAAGTGATAAATAAATGAAAACTGCTTTAACGAGTTTATTATTTAGCCTCGGCAGTATTTCCAGCACAAGGGCTAATGGAGCCGCGCAAATGTCTGAAACAAGTGAATCAAATAGTTCATATAGTTGTGGTATGTTAAGAGGTTTCTATCCAATCGCAATCATTCCCTCCCCTTTCCCGTACCCCCCACTTTCCACAGCCTTTGGTGGTCAACTGAACCCGTTTCTTTTTAGAACAATCGTTGGCGGAAACGTGGAATAAGCGTGGTCCCTTTGAAGTACGGAGTGGCTTACGAAGGATCCATGTTTACTGCATTGGTGTCAATATTCCATGCTGACGGCACAGTAGCTATTTCACACGGAGGCATTGAAATCGGCCAAGGAATAAATACTAAGGTAGGGGCAGTTGATATTACAATGTAGCCTAGATTACCCTAGAAATCTGCTTTTCCTTGAGAATTTTCTCGGAGCGAGGTTGATCATCTGGCCAGAGAAAAACGAAAATTAGGAAAATCTATGATTAAATGAACAAATACTAGGAAACCGAACATTTTCACAGAAAGCAGAAGCATTCAATGTAGAATTTCTTGGCGTGACACTTTCTCTCAACAAAAGAAAAATGGATAGTCGGAGGATGGTGTGATAGCTATATGGACCGAGGCGAGTCTTACCATGCTGGGTTTTGCCATTATCATGTTTCTTAAAATTATTGACAATTCTCTAAACATAAGCGAAGAAAACTTGGATGGCTGTGTTGATCCATTCCAGAAAACACGTAGAAGTTCGTTCTTATTTTCTATATGTGACCCCTACTTTTCTATATTATTATTTTTTTATTATTATTTTTTTCTTGAATGTTGCAGGTAGCTCAAGTCGCAGCTTACAAGCTGAATTGCCCCCTTGAGATGATTGCCATTAAGCCAACTGCAGCGTTTACCAATCCAAATAGTAAATACAATATAATGATCAATTAACCTTAACCCTGTAAGACCTCACGTAAACCTGCAAAAAACTCCACGCCATTCTCCCTACATTCTGAAAATGAGTGTTAATGACGAAGATTTGTGCTGAAGCAAGATACTTTACACTCGAGATCTTTTCTTTTCTAGAGCGTTTTCAAATGACATCACATCCGCCATGTTGGTGTCCCAAACCAATAACAAGGCGGCCATCTTGGTGTTTTAAACCAGTCCTGTGGGAGTTCAACCGTTTTCTTACGAAAAGACTTTCTTTTGTTCCAGTAAATTGAATTTACAATAAATTCCAATAAACTGCTGGCCACGTAAGTGAAAAAACTCTGTTCCCTGGACTGGTGTTTGACTCTGCGGTAACAATAAAAGTATAGGAAAGGAGCTGGCAGTGTTGTAAATACATAAGGGAGCTTGAATATCGTTTAATATGTTTTTGTTTCCCAGCTAACGAACTGAGAACTTTAGTACAGTTTACAACCAGTATCTGTTCTCTGTTCTCTGTTAAAAATAATTGTTGAAAGCTAGGAAAGAGAAAAACATAGGAAAAGAGTAAAATAAAAGTATTACATACCAAAGAGGAAGGCTGTTGCTTAAGAAACAAGCGATGGGCGTACACCTTTAATATATCTTGTCGTGCTGCTTCTAAAGTGACACTGAATTGTTTACTTGTAGGCGGGAGTACTGGTGGAAGCATCACAAGTGAGCTGTGCTGCAGGGTAAGATAACTGTTTATGATGAAAGGCTAAAAGGTTTTAGAACTCACTTTCAAAAGAATGACAGAAAAAGCCGCATTTGCACTGGCAACTTTTCCTTTACAATTTGAAGCCAAAAGAACTCGGGAGAGTCGGGGGATTATTACAACTTTTTCAAGCTTTAGTTTTCGTTTGTTGTCGTTGTTGTTGTTGTTTTTGTTATCGGCTCGATACCCCAACAACAACAACATAACTTTATTTATACTCGAATTCTAGAGTAGCTAACGAGCTAATATTTTCGAGCTGACAAAGCTCCCCCCTCCCCACACGATATTGTACTCGTTGAACAAGTATTTTGTTCTTCAGACCGTCATGGGATGCTGCGACATTTTGAACAAAGTTATTGACCCAGTCAGAAAAACCATGCCAACCGCCACATGGCCTGAACTGATCGCAAAGTGCTACGAGAATGGACTGGATTTGTCGGCCAAATACATGTGAGTTTTGAAATATCATTGTTATTCATAGCGTGCATTATACACTTAATGTCAGATCCCAAGGGAAACAGTTAGTTTTGTTTTCCCAAGAGTCCTGATGTTTCCCGAGACGAAGTCGAGGGAAACATCAGGACTCGAGGGAAAACAAAACTAACTGGTTTCCCGAGGGACCTGACATTAAGTGTTTTGTTATGTTTCTAGACTTTCACTTCAACAGCAACAAAAGAATAACCGGAGCGAACCAAAACAGTCGACTCGGTACTTATAACAACACAAATTTAATTCTCAAAACCACTGAATGAATGATCTACAAACAAAAGTACTTTCCTCATGTTATCTGCATCTTTTTCCTCCACTAGCTGCTGTTTTTCTTCTGGGAACTTCTGGGATAACTTTAAAAATCGTTGCTTTTTAGCTTGAGGCTTCGTTTTTGTGTTGTTGTGTTCATTCACGAAAAAGAAAACTGGCTGGACCTGGCGGTGTTTTTCCCGCCTTCTGTCACACCACTTTCCACCATGCTTTGATCACGTGCTGCAATGTATCCCGAGCGGGATACATTGTTTAATGTATCACGATCGGGATACATTTGATTTTAGTCAAGGCCACGTGACCAAGAATCAACCAATGGCAGTCCCTGTTTAGTTGAGTGAAAGTCTAGGAATATAACAAAATAACATGTACGATTGATTTTATTAACGTCTTTGTAACTTGAAAATCTCTTGATAAAATATTCTTTAGCAGTTCTTATGTACGGTATGATATTTTGATGTTGCGTTGATAAGATCCAAAGTACCATTTGCCTTAGCGGTGATATTGGTAATGTGTAAAAAGACGTCATCGAGCAAATGGCCTTTTAGTCATCATCTCTCGGAGGCTCTCTGAATAGAGCACTCTTCCTTCCCATAACACCACGCGCGTTACATAGGAGGGCCGACTATGGACAAGTCAGAAGCAAGTTCACATTGTAAGGGGGTATTCCGGGAGGTCGGAAAAATCCTTTGATACCGTATGTCTGCAAAATATTCCCCACTCCCACCCTCTGTACCAAACAAATTCACAACCCTCTTATCAAAGACTGACTAGAAAATGGATTCTTCCGCTCTTTCAGGTCAAGAAGCACGACTCCTTCGCTTGTGGCATACAACATTTATGGTGCCACTTGCACTGAGGTGGAGATTGATGTGTTGACAGGAGAAAGGGAGATTTTACGTACTGACATACTTAACGACTGTGGACAAAGGTAAAAGGGTATCAGATATACCGATTATTTTATAATTTTTTATCCGCACACCAGTTTTTTGTTGTTGGCATTTTTGAAAATAACCGAGTTTCACTAACAAGGGTGAAGACACAACTCTGTATTTAGGGTGGGTGAGGGGGTGGGCAAACTGCTCTTTACTTATGTTGGAGTATTAAAGAAGTGACTGGGGGCCTGTACAGGGTTCCCACAGTCTGGAGGAAAATCATTGAAAAGTCCTAACTTTTCTTCAAGGGTCCTTTCAGTAGAAGTCGTTGAATTTTCCACAAACTTGGATGTAGCAAAATTAAGTGGAGATGCTGAGCGCAATGTTGAGTATTCGTGTTCTCTAAATATGTCGGTTAGCCTTTTAGTAGCACAAAAATGCTTGCCTACTTTTCTACCAGCAAAGGTATCAGTAACTGTATAATTTCCACCGTGCACCATCAATTGTTATCTCATTATAGATTAACTTAATTTCTTCATATGCCTGATCAATTTTCTATAAACAACACTCTATTCTAGACTAACTTTAAATTTGCAAGATCATAAATTCATACAGAATTGCAAAAGCAATAATAGTAACAAAATCAAACGATCAAAAGGTTTATTATCATTCTAAAGTGTTCAAAATTTGCCATGTAAATGAAACCAATGCCAAACCCCACTTGTTTCTACATACTGTCCCAGACTTTGGTAGTTGTCACTCATTGGCTGTTTTCACATTAGAGACGGATTATCCATCTGAGACGGGTTATTTGTTGGATAATTCTCATCAGACAGATAACAGGCCTTAATTTGAAAATGGAACGGTTCTCATTTTGGATGAACAATCCGCCTGACTTTATCCATCTGTTTATCCGTCAATTTTGGAATATTTTGAAGCTGGGCTATCCGTCTCTAGTGTGAAAACGGCCATTATTGGCTCCTAAAGTTTAGTCATGCGTTTTACGCATGATTGCGCTACTTAGTTTTACATTCTTAACTCTCTCATGCATAAAACTGAACCTGTTAAAAGGCTTCAGTTTTTCACTATATTATAATTTGAATCTCAGCATGAATCCTGAACTGGATATCGGCCAAGTGGAAGGAGCGTACATGATGGGACTGGGTTTGTGGCTGACGGAGAAAATCATCTACGATCCGCAGACGGGAAAAAATCTCACTAATGGAACCTGGGTAAATAACATTGTATCATCCCATTTCTCCACCTTCTATGAAAAACCATTTCACTTTGTACAAATCAGTATGGTGCCATATGAACGCTTTAGCCAAAGTAGCACTTTGTCCAAGTCGGAATGATCTCAGAATTAGTAAAGCATCTGTAAGTAATTTAACCCTTTCCGCACTGCTAGGCTGATATAAAATTCAAATGAACTTTCTTTGACACTACTTTCACATTGAAAAAGTGGTTTCTGAGCGGCATTTTACTAAATGAAATTGCACTAATTTTAGCCACTTCTGGGAATGAAAGACTTATTGAAGTCTAGCCAGCTGGATAGTCACGCAGTACAATGCATCCAACCCACTGGGACAAACTGGCGAAGAGCTTACGCCGTTGGAATATCGTTTCGTTGCTTGCTCTTCATCTTGGAGTTTTTGCACCATTTGACTGACCAGCCGCTGTTTGACTGTGTTTTGTAGACTGCGAAGCGTCTCTTATTTTCCTTTTGAGTCACGGAGATAGAGAGCACGTGTCCCCGCCCCAATCTCTCCTCCTTTTTGCCATTGATTTGCATAGTTTCACTTTTTCGCTCGCCGCGCTTGGCAATGAATGTGTTTTGAGACCATCGTGGACTGTACGTGTGATAGAAGTCCTTTCCTCAGTTTTCCGTGGGCATAAGCTATGTTTTCAAAGTCCACATGTCAATAACTAATTAACGTTACACTTAACTTTCAGGAATACAAGCCTCCCGGGTGTAAAGACATACCGATTGACTTCAGGGTGTCACTGTTGAAGAATACTCCGAACCCAAATCCACTCGGCGTCCTCAGGTCAAAAGGTAACAAAAAGGGCGGGGCGGGTTTGATATACTGACGATGTTTAAGCCACTAATTATATATTAATATATAGATTTAGCCAGGGCTAAAAGCGAAGCTCTCGTTAATATACTTATAAACAAAAAATATCATAAAATGGTGTGATGCTAAAAGGCGACGGCAATGAGAACGGCAACAAAATCAATAAATCTAATTAGCAAAAGTTCGACGTTCGGCCCAGGCCGAACAGATCATTTTATGGAGGAATTGTCGTATGTGCTCACGAACAGTTTTGTTCCTTGTGTTCCTGTTCGCTTTTTTTTTTCACTGCCGCTCATTTTCACCTTGCTGGCCGCTGGCATTTCTCATTTTCTCACCGCTGCTATGAAATTTCATGTCTTTCTTCCAACGAAATTCGCCTCTTTTGTTTTTAATCACTCGCTTTAGCTCTTTCTCTGTTATCCACGTGAGCGAAGACATCAAAAATAACGTCGAAAATACTCGACTTTTTTGTTATTTTTTCTCTGTAAAAGTCCGGGTGGCCCTTGGATTTCCCGCCAAAAAAACCTCGAGTTGCTTTTAGTTTGCCATACCTGTTGATTGAATTATTTTGCATTGGTATGCCTGTGGTGCGGACGGACAGGCGAACGTACGGTCACGTGACTATAAAAATTTTTCGAATGCATAGGCCAGTCGCACATCTCCCATAATGCACCTTATTTGCCCCTTCAAAATTTTGCATAAGCATTGTTTTCAATTTCTCTTGGGACGGCTGTAATACCCAGGAAAAATGAAAAACAAAGGTTATGGATTTTTTTTTTTTGGGGGGCGGGTGGGGGGCAAATAAGGTGCACTATGGGAGATGTGCAAGTGGAGTACAAGTAACAAAGTTTTCTTACCCATGGTGATTCGCTGCGCGCGCGGGGCAGGTAATTAATAGTGTGGTTCTTTATGATTACGTTGAAATGTTCCAGTCGGATCTTTTAATTTATCGCTGACATTTTTCCTTTGTAGAAGGAATACCTAATGAAAGTTTACTCTCCATTCATTTATTTGTTTATTTACTTGCTTATTTATTCATCCTTTCGTTCATTTATTTATATATAAAAAAACTTCATGTGCAACTACGATAACTAATATGACCAAAAGAGTTCCGACTGTAGGAACTGTCTCCTCGTGATGAGTCAACTCTCTTATCCTAAGAAAGTCACCCGTACAGCGTCTCTATATAGTATACAGTAGAACCTCGAAAACTCGAACTCAGATAACTCGCATTCCCGCTAACGCGAACTAAATTTCCTTTCCAATGTTCAAAATTTCACCGAAATTTAAGCACGATGACTCGAATTCCTCGCTAAATCGAACTGTTTTTCGTTTCCCTTCAGAGTTCGAGTTACCGGGGTTCTATTGTAGTTTATACGTGGATTTCGTTTATAGTTCGTGTTTTTATTTATTATTAGCTGTGGGAGAGCCTCCTTTGTGCATGTCCTGTGCGAGTCTGTTTGCTGTGAAGCACGCTGTGGAACAGGCGCGAAATGAGATTGGTAAAGGAAGCGAATATTTTGCAATGAGTAAGTCTATTTTATCCGTCTGTTTAGTGCAATTACTAAGCGCAAAAACAGCTTCACTCAATCGCTGAAGAGATTCAGAAAAGTCAAATGCTGAAACTGTGCAAGAATTCATACGGAGTCGTGTAAACACTACGGTAGTCTGTAAAAGAATTTGCAAGGTTCCGAGTTAAAGGTCGCAAAGGTAAAAAAATCGTCCGTAAAAAAAATTATCCGGACCTGGGTAAACGGGTTTACCTCCTCCCTCGCTTTTGCAAAAAGAGGCCTGGGTCACAGCTACCTACTGATGTAATTGATTAGATCAGTCAGTAGCCGGTCCGTTAGACACCCGGGGTTTAACAGCTGTAAAAAACATTACCATTATTGATCGGTGGGTCTGCTGTATAACGTTTCCGAATGAGCTTTTCATGAACAGCATGTTCTTTTTTTCTTCACAGACGCGCCCAGCACGATCGAGGATACTCAGTTAGCGTGCCTTGTGGAGTCCAGTCAGTTCACGTTGTGAGAAAACTGCCACTTATAGCGACGATTTTTGACTGCTTACGACTAAACGTCCTCGTTGTTAAAATAAAAAAAGGATAACCAGTGTCGCTTCTGATTCTACATTATTATTACTCGCGTGATGCCAAACTTTTGCTAGATAGATATGGTATGACCGACGGAGTTACATTAATGTTATAGCAGTGAAATTTTCCAGAGATTTTCTAACGTGTAAACGTTGTAGATTTGGAAGGCAGCAGCGGTAAACAAGATCCTGAGAAGAAAAGCTTGTCTAACAAAATATACGTTTCCAGGAAAAACAAAGAAACAAACAAAACAAAAAACGCAAAGCCGCAAGGACAAAAGTTGCATGTAAACAAAGCCTAACACTGTTGAATAAAGTAACTTGGCGGACTAAGAAAGCTGAAATATGCTAGTTTGACAGAACAAAAAAAATTGTGAAGAAAAAGTGGTCACATTTAATACAGCCGCAAACTGTAATAACCGAATTGAAAATCGACCGAAACTGCCATTAACAATTTCCAGCTTGGTTATAACAGTTCGCAGCTGTGACCAATATTCGTGTTTCCAGTATCATAATTATGCTTGAATACTTCACAATGTCGATATAGCCCTTAGCGCTGTGAGTTTTTCATTAGGTACAGAAACGACTAGGAATATTTGTATGATATCCATGACAAATAAAGTGTCAGTGTAGCGGGATTTCTTGCCGTAAGAAGTATGTTAAAACTATGAACAAGCACTTCTTTCATGTACGAAACTGAATTCTTACATGGAATTCTCTGATGGAATACCATCGGTACGATTTGTGCGATTTTTCCGAGTCACAATGGCGTAACTCAGTCCACAGATTTTCTTAGTGGTCGAGACGACTGAGTTTGAGGGAGATCCTTTCCTGTCCCTCTTGATAAGAATGATTAACAAGGTAATTAGCTTTAGTTGTATCCGATATACTGCCATAATTCCTGCTTCTAATTTTAACACATAAGCACGTCAGCCATGAAATGCGTAACCAAAAGGTAGAGTTGTTTGTACAACTTGGTTATTATTCTAGAAACTAAGGAGCATCTAGCCTTACCAAATATAACTCAGACCTTCCCTAGCGAAATGATCCTGCCTTTTTAAAGGTTATTGTCTTTGTTTTTACCAAGTTTTGTCAGCGTCATTCTCAGTGTCTCTCTTGTTCCCATTTACTTGCTCCAGGGGACGGCAAGGTGGTTGAGTTGTTGTATCTGCACTAATTTGTTTACAAGTAAATATTAGTTTTTCGTAAATAATTAAATGTTGAATGGATAGGAATAAAAAGTGACAAGTGCATGCATTGAGTCAAAGTTCTAATATTCAAAATATTGATATTTTGGCTGTTGGTTTGTACCATTTGTGTCATTGTTCTATCCAGTATGAAATTGTCCGTGGTCACAAGAACGTGAAGATCTGTTTTAGGAAGAAAAGTGAACCTTGTGCTGGCCCAATTTCCTTGAGATTTCTCCAGCCTTCTTCGGAACAATCTTCCTGATTAATCCATAGCTGTTGAAGGCTTGGTAGATTCCTGATGAACGGTAAAATAGACGTTACTGAATCACCCAATGGATTACCATACAGGACTAATGTAATCAGTCCGGGATTATGGCGTGAAACACTTTCCACTAGAGAATACACGTCATTTCCATCAAGATTCAGCTCCCATAGTTCTAATACCGACAATTTAGGAGAAAATTGAAGGCTCTCTATGAATGTTATTAAAAGTTCTTCCTCATGACAAAACAACCTAAACGAAGTTGTTCTAGTTTGTCTAACCTGAATGATAGCTTAACATCTACGACCTCCTCACTGCTTTGCTTTGTCGCCCCTTTTAATTTAAGACATCGTAACGACGTCAACTTGGGCAGTGATCTACCAAGCGCTGCAGCAAGGTGTGGTGTCATACTGAGCTCATCGAGTACCAGGTGCTGAAGTTGCTCGTGTGTGATACTTCCAACTAACTTTGCCGCCGCCGATGACGAGCAATGTTTTAAGTGAAGACAAAGAGTGATCGTGTTTCTAAAATGTGGCAGCAGAAAGGTAAGTTGTTCCGCTTCCTTTGGTTTCTATACCTAAAGTGCCTTCATTCAAACTTCCTATCTCCCACGAGCACTTCTCTGTTAGCGTGGGAATTTCTTGTAGGAGACGAACCATCCAATCTAAAGCAGGCTTTATGTTACGAAGTTCAATACTGTTTAAACTTTTGCCACAGTTTCGTATCATTGCAAGAGGCTCTTCGGCGTTACAATTGTCAAGAAAGTTGTCATAAACTTGTAAGCGTGTTAGAAATTTCAGACTAAATAACCCTGAACGCAACGTTGAAAAGTCGGTTACAGCAGTAATTCCATCTGCCTCAATAAATACCTTGGCATGGTTGGAACAACGCAGCTGCAAATCTCTCATAAAAAAACGTGCTTTGCCAGAATTATAACTAAGAATAGCGGCGAATCCACATGAAGCATATTTTGGTATAGAATTACACTTACAATCCAAGAACCTTTTAACAAAGTCACGCATTTTCGGAATTTCAGTATTTACATTCTTTAGACGTTCTAGTGTTTCAAGCGTGAGTAGAGGACGAGGCCTGGAGAAAAAATAATCCAAACGTGTCTTGGAAATGAATAGACCAGTCTGTAGACCGACAAGAATTGGAATCCTTTAACTGAAGCAGCTCAAAAGGAAACTTTCCATCAAGGAAGACACCACCAACGCAATCTAAACAGTTCCTTGACAATTCACCTTTTGACTGAACTTCTTCAAACGAGTTCCAAACCAATCTGAAGAAAGTGCGATGCCTCTTAGTGACCTCGGATAACGGTTTATCTGTTTCCTCTACATCTGGTACAGTTGCAGTTAAATCCAATAAAGGATAAGACATTCTCACCAACTCCAAATGCTTAAAAACTTTCGCGGCTCCTTGGTCAGACAAGCCACAAACAAACTTGAAAACGTTCTCTAAGGCAATACAACCCTCTAAGGTGTGAGCGTACTTTTCAACTGGACCAAGATTACCTTCAGGGATAATCCATCTGTAGGTGATGAACCATGCTGAAAGAAATTCTTGAATACTCTTGTGCATAAAGGAAACCATTCCTGCTGGTCTTCTGTTTCCTACGTGCTTCGTTACTTGAAGTAAGCCAAAGAAAAACTTTCTTCGCAGAAAATGGATGGAGGCAGCTGTTTGTAATCAAACACGTGATCGTCGTTGAAAAGACAATCTAACGCCACCTTTCCGATTTCACAAAGGATCTCCTTGAAATCTATTACCTCAGGAAAGTCACAAGAAGCAGAAGCAGAATGTTTCGCTTGGTTGTGATCTAATACGCTCTGGACCATCTGCACATACAAATCTGTTTTTGTTTTGGGCCAGCTCTCCAGGTGACCTTCTTTCCACAGACTGCATAAAAATAAGAGAAGTAATGGGCTTTCTGCTAGAGCAAACAGGTCTTTCTCAAACAAATGATCGAGTAGATTTTCTGCATCTTTATCGCTCCCAAGCTTTCTCTTCATGTAAGACGAAATGTCACAGTGGCTAAAGCCAACAATCTCAGCACGAAGGACTTTTAGGACTCTACTTTCTCGCAAGTCATCCGCTTTGGAAATTCTGCTGGTTATCAATACGTAACAGTCTCTCAGTTTGTCACCTTTGAATATCTTGAAGATGTCAGAGTCGCGTCCGCATCGATACTCGTCGTAGCCATCGAACACAAGTAAAACTTTATCCTGGTTGTCGGTGATATATTTGAGAAGGCCGTCTGTCATGGATTTATCCTCCTCGGCAAAAATGTTGGAACAGCTTAAAACATCTTTGAGGCTTTGATGTTTTGATACTTCTTTTAGATTAACGGCAACGAGAAGTTCGAACTTCTTCAAGGCAACGGCAGCTTCGTCATAACCCATTTCATCGTCCAGATTGAGTTGAGCCCAGTCTAGAGCCAGCTTCTTAACAAACGTTGTTTTCCCAATTCCCGTTTGTCCTTGCACGAGTATTCTTTTGGGTAACGTATCGCTCTTGTTCGCAGTGAAAAGATCGCAGTAATGATTCAGCTCGGTTTGTGATGGCCCAGCTGCGTGTTGTTCCTGCTTTACCCACGACAATCTGGTGTAGATTTCATGGATGTCAACAGGATCTAACGTGGACCAGACGGATGTGGGCACAGTTGCTGAGTTCTTGTAATAGTCAGCTAATTTACTTCGGCAGGTTTTTACATCGAAACCGCCGTGTACGGAACATGGCTCTAATTGAGAAAAAAAGGCAAAATATCAATTAATATTTATCTTTCAAAAAGTTCTTGCGGGTACAATCAGAGCATCGAACTTTGCCTGTCGGTCTCTTGTAATTAATTCGGTCTCAGTTTTATGTGATTACACAAATGAGCAAATCCCGAATTATTATACTGTGCTTTGCATGATTTGTGCTCCTAAAATCTAAATCTTCGCGAAATACGGCTTCCAAACTTTCGAGAAATTGAGTACTAGCGTAATTGGTAAGAAAATGCTAGCGTGCTTCTGTGGCGATAGAATAATAAAAATAATGAATTCCAGGTCGTATGCGAAAGACGTTTCATCAATATAGGAGATCTTTTAATAATAAATAATTTATTTATTTACTTAAAAGTTCTGTTAACCATAACAATACCATTTTCATGAAGAACTGGGAGCCTTGGACCTGATGCTCCACTCTCTTGCTCAAGGCCACTTGGAGCTACAAAGTTATTAACAACAAAATATTACCAAAAAATGATCAAAAATGGCCCGTCAAAATTCTAAAATACTTCAGCCGATACATTTGAAAAGCGCGAGGATTTAATTCCCAACCGTTGCCTCCAAGGAGAACAAAAACCACAAGACGATGATAACTGACCTCTTTTGGTGTGGGTAAAGACGTCGCTGAAGGAAAAGTCGGTTGTCCCTTTACTAATAAGGGACACCTGAAATTCAATTTATTTCTAAGCTGCAGGAGTAAATCTTAAACCCGGTTCCAACGTCGCATTTCACACTTGCCAAATCTGACGTAAATGAGCGGGAACCAATAGATTTTCGTCATTAGCATTGAAGTCAGCAAATGTGAAATTCGACGTTTGAACCAAGCTACAAAAAAATGGGATATGCATCTAAAATATTACACAGATTTAGCCAAGTCTTAAGGCGAAGCTCTCGTTGTTGCACTTATAAATGCACTCAAACAAAACATAAACTTGAAACCACTACAAACAAATCTTTCAAATCTGTGCTTATAACATTACGTACAGTGGACCATTCATTTTGGGGGAAAAAATATCTGTAACTAATAGAACAATGGAAGTTAGATATAATCGAAATTTTGTAGAAAAGAAGACTCTTCTTTGTCGTCTTTGCTTTTTTCTCTAAAAGATCAGGTGGCCATTTACCGCCAAAACACGCGGGTGCTTGAATTCGACACTTTTCCCTGGCTTACATGAAAAGGCGGACGTAAGGATGGTCATGTGACTACTACGGCCCTACAGAGGGCGCTTTGCGCGCGAGAGAGAGAGCTTCGCTAAAAATAGACGATGCTTATTAAGTGCTGCGGTGGCCATGATCTACAATTTTTTGGGGGGGGGAATTTTGGTCAAAATTCTTTATTGAGAATGACGAGATGAATTATTCCTGATCTCAAAAGGGAGATTGTTCCCCCAGTTTGGCTCCAGCGTACCTATATAATAGAATGCTTTCCGAAAATGGCACGGCTTTGAAACAAGAAAAGATATGAAGTAGGGCCTCTTTTCAATTGTAAGGGGATTCGCTAAGTTGGAAGAAAATGCAGATTGTCTGCATGTGACAGTAGCTTAAAATTTACTAAATATGAAAAATGGAAATCAGGGGAGAGGAAATGCGCCCTCTAGCTATGAGGGACACAAACATTAATTTATTATCGGAAAGGAAAGGTTTCTGTTGCTAATTAGTTATTTCCGAGTTGCCCCAAGCTTCTGTTTCAAAGCAAGGATAAGTGACAAGCCACTGATGCCAAAATTAATGATTTTTTTACTCTTCTGCAAAAAATTCATTATTTCACAAGCAATGTTTCACACTTGGCTTCCTTTCAAAACTGAAATTTTTTAACTTGAAATAGCTTGATAAAATGTCAGTAACATTGAAAGTTCTACCTTGATCAACACGGCTGCTTTGACATATATGTATGTTACGAAGTGACGCTTCCACGTCATCAGTTGCAACACGCAGTTCCACTTCCTTCTCAGAACCTTAAAGAGTGATAAAATAACAATAAATTTGTTTCTCAAAACAAACTACAGGTGAAACTTATATTAAGCGGATACCCTCGGGGAATGCTGTAGTGTCCGCTTAATACAGGGTGCCCACCTAATACAGGTTTCGATAGATAATGTCATATAGATGTCAAATGCCATTCAAATGAACAGTGGAAATGTGAAGAATACTCCCAGAGACTTTCACGATATACGTTTGCAGTAATTTCTTTATCAAAGTGGACCAATTGATCATAGTACCATAAACATAGATTGCAACTGAAATTTGAAGAAATCAGATGAGTGAAACAAGCTCTATATAAACAAAACGAAATAGAAAACAATACTGTACTGTGAAACTAATAAAATAAGTTCGCCAAGTCACGTTTTTTAATGTCAAAATCGAAAAAGTTGTGGGTGGCAATTCAAGGTAATCCTTCCCCTTTTTTGGTGTCCGGCATGTTGGGTGGTGGAATTTGATTACAAGTGTCTATTTAATACACGTTGGTAACAATAGAAATGACTATTTCAGGTACCTTTTAGGTGTCCGCGTCTGCTTAATAGAGGTGTCTGCTTAATAAAGGTTTCATTTAAAGTAAATAAGGGAAATAAAATTTGGGACTTCGGCTACTGTCCGCTTAATAGAGGGTGTCCACTTAATACGGTATCCACTTAATACAGGTTTCACTGTATGTGGATAAGCTACAACATGGCTATACAAAAATGATATTACCAGTAAGCTATACAAAATGCCCTACTCAACTCCCGAGGGTAGGGGGGGTACTTGTGTTAATTTTTGCTGGGTATGTCCCGCTGGCCTCCCAGAGCCCCTACCCCATTATAGTCTATTCTATGCCCAATTATAGACCCCATCGTAGCACCTTTTGGGCATAATTATATTTAATTTTCGCGATCCCAGCTTAGTCACTGTCTATTTATGTATATAACAGTTTTACTTATAAATCGTTTAAATTGGTCATCATATAATGAATTGACAAATTTTTTAAATTGAATGACGAACACTTTACTTTTTACCAACAGTACAAACATTCTGGTATGTTTGCTAACTGTAAAAGTGAAGAACTTTCTTACCCCAAAAATCAGAAAATATGTGAGCCCATTCAAGTAACTCTATTGAAAATGCAACCCCACTATAGTCAATCAAGTCATGAAAATGCGACCCCATCCAGCAGCACATCCCCATTAGCCTCTTATAACAAGTATCCCCCTCCCCCCCGGGACTCAGACTCAACTGCAGGAAAACAAGGGCTTGTATCCAGCTCAAATCCTCCAGACGGATATCAACAATTACATTTAACAACAAAATAATAAATCAACGTAAGTATGATTCTCGGGATTACATGACTGGACAACTAATCTTAAATAATTTCCCAATATAAAAAATGATTTTGAAACATCTTGTTCCTAAAGCTACGCATGTGACAGTTTCTCAAGATTTGAAACTTGACTTGCTTTGACCAGTTAACTCATTTTATTGGATATATCACTGTTACAGTTAATATTGGGTGGCATCTATCAGCAGTGGCCAATCCAGGGGAGGCCCCCCCCCATTTTTAGATCAATCAGAGGCCCACAGGGTAAATTTTTTTCCAGACTGTCACCCCCACCCCCCCCCCCCCCCCCTTTTCTGAAGGTCTGGATCTGCCACTGATCAGTATCAGCAATACAATTGTAGAGAAGAGCTAAGAAGTGTGAAGTCACAAAAACTGAAATTTTCATTGGCTTGGATCAATTTGCACTGGTCGACAGGATGATTTTTAGCAAGTCAACATTTTTCAAGTTGTTCTTTCTTGATATGCTAACAAATCCCAAAATTTCACAAATTTAGTTTTTGTGACATCATCACTACTCTCCTCTATAATTATATGATGTAAATGATTTGTTCTTTCTGACAAATTTGTGCCAATCAATCCCATAATTTCACAGATTTAATTCATGACATCATTACTTCTCTTCTCTAAAATGTTTAACTAAACAATTAATGTACCTTGATCAAGGCAGCTTGCACCAGCTGATGTTCCATGATCATCTGAAATAACACTCTCTACTTTCTGCTCAGAACCTTCAAGAATAAATAAACAGTCTTAATTGAACCAAGTGTGAATATTACAGGCCACTTTAGCAGAAGTAATAATATTAATTGATACTTTGCTCACCAGTATCAAAACTTGTGCTTGTACCAGCTTGCCCAACTCCACCAGATTGACCTTCAGTTATAACAACAAACACTCAATTAATAAATTTGACCATTATTCTATGGGTTGCTTAATTATGCTTGTAAACGACAAAATGAGTCAAATGCAAAATAGAGTAAGACATTGCAAAGCAGCAAATAGATACAACAGCAGGCTGCTGATTAGAGAACAGTTAAACAATATTATTGATACCTGATGTTTTTGGTTCCTTTCTCCATTTTTGGAAGATGTTTGATGCACTTCTTCTTATTCGCTTCCCAAGAGTATTTACTTGCTTCTTAGGGTGACGATTTTCCATTCAGCAACTTGACCAAGCTTCAATTTAATCATCAGAAAACATTAATGTAATAAACCCCTGGTAAATTTTTGCAATATTATATTCAAGCTAATGCTCCAATCTCAATTTTTTGCAAAGTTACCTTTGACACCTTTAAACTGTAATTGGCTCCTTGAGGAATACTGTTTACTTCCCTTATAAACATTATTATGGTTACCAGATAACTTCAGGTGTGTCTCAATAAATTGTGTAATAAGTAAGAAGTACGTAAGAAGTTCATTGTACACTCCCCTTTTTAGTGATACAAGACAAAGACGTAATGTATCATAAAGGTTTTAAGACATATATATCTAACTGAAAAAGAGGAAAAAAAAGTACCTAAGTTTTGGTTAAAAATTTCTATGTTACAATAACACGTTAAAACCTACCGGTACATTAAAATGCTTGTAGGATCAAGAAATTTATGTAACAATATTTGCCTTTAGTTTTATGCCTTACTTAATTTCAGGTCTTTATCTAGGCTTTTCAAGTGCACAAACTGACAACAAATGATCGCTGACCAGCAGATGCTTTAAATAAAGGGATATTTAGTTGTTGTAAATTACGTGGCCAGAGACATGGCCTCTGGTAACTATAGCTTGGATGTTGACACATTAAAAACCGTCATCCATGTATTTTAATGCAAAAACTGAGTGTCCCTTCAATATAATAATGCTGTCTTACAGGTAACAAGCACAGTTCTCAGAGAACTGGAAAAATGTGATCAAATTTCTTGGCTCCAATATTATCTGGGTGGTAATTAACTGTACATGTTCCAATTTACATACATTTCTGTCAGATCGCTGATAAGCAGTAAAAATTTTACTAAAAACAAGCGTGTTGATTAAAATCGCGAGAAGGTCTGAATTAAAAGTGTGTTTTGCGCAATTTATCTGAGCTAGCTTATAAATGCATTAGAAGCAGTGACAGCTGAGATATGGGAATCAAATGTCAGGATATAGGATCAAATATCACCCCTCCCTAAGTCCTTAACAGAGTCCATGGGGGAAGGTAAATCCTTGCCCAGGAATAAAAACTTAAAAGTTCAGTGGTTTACAAATCATCTGTCGACTGCCGAAAACAATGAGGAGATAGTTGTCAAACACCAATCATGGATTCGTTGTAGGTAGGTTATCATCAATTTATATCCTCAGTAGCACGAGATTCCTCTACTGTACAGGACATAATAATTTGTCTAATACTCCAACAAATTTATGCATGGCATCGTTAAATTTCTCATTGTTTTGCTTTGTTCTTTTTTGTTATGCTTTTGTACAGTATTGTAAATGCAATGAAATACATTATGCCATGCATAAATTTGTCGGAGCATTGGACAACCCTCATAAAGGAGTGAATTTCTTTCGTGTCATCAAGGTAGCACATGGTTGAGCGATGTCTCAATGACTGCTGGTACGTTGTTTACGTAGATACTGAATTAACAGGGTTCCATGCCAGTACGCAACTTTGTGACACTCCACACACCACTGGTAGAACGTCAGACAGAGCAGCATTAATCCTATTCCAGTAGCTGTTAAACCAGGAGACCGCTGATGGGGCCAGCCAAATGGCATTTAGTTTTTGCAATAAAATGTTGTGACTGATGCTATTGAACGCTTTGCTCATATCCAGATAAACAATATAGCTGTTAGCTTTCTCTTGTCAACTACCTCAAGTATAGGACCAGAGACGATAAGAGAAGTTTCAGTGGAGTGCCACTTTTTTTCTGCTCTGTTCCACCACCACTTGTTTGTTTGTTTTTAGGTATAGGGTGTTCACTGACTCTGAGGGCCACCTTTTCGCACACTTTAGATAAGATAGGCAACAAAGAAATTGGCCTATTGTTCCCTGGTTCTTCAAAATCGCCCTCTTTCAAGATTGGTGACACTTCTAGGATACAGGTGCTGGTGGTAAAAGAAGAATTTATAATCACAGCGATAGAAGGAATAACTATAATTACAGGTACAAAGTCCTTGATGACACAAGTTGGTATCTTGTCAAGACCTGGCCCTTTGTTTCTAAACAATGATGATACAATCTTTTCAACATCTGAACAATAAACTCTGCTAAAAATCTCGTCCCAACCTGTATACATCACCACAAGAAGCTTCAAGAATTATAGACCTTTGCCACGCAGCAGCCATTTTGTCTCAGGAGATTTAAAAAGCTTTGTTTTTTTTTTTTTAATATGCATGGCTAGCCTCATAGAGAGAATGAAGTTAGCCGTGCATAAACAAAGCTTTTTAAATCTCCTGAGACAAAAAGGCTACAGCATGACAAAGGTCTATTACCACAAAGATGTCTACCTCAAGGACGTTTCCTATGCTCCCTGGTTCATTCTAGACACTTTTGATTATGTGGAGGATAAACTACATGTATATTATTACAATATATTACCCTGTTTACTCAGATTTTAGATCAACATGTGCCTCTGAAAACTGTTAAACTCTGAACACAGCCAACTCCATTCATCAAGATAATATATTACCTTAAAATTAATGAAAACAAGAGATCATTGACAGAAGTTAGCTATGCAAACAAACGATCCTGCTGTCTGGCCATGGTCTGGCTACAAAACTTTCAAACTGAGAGCTTCATGTAGAAAGGCTGAAAGGAATTTCATCCAAGAATGTACATGTATTATCACAAAATTCAAATGACACTAATGTGATGTGGAAGACAGTAAGATCGTGTATCCCAAAGAAATTGGGGAGTGTAACGGTTTAACAGTGATGATGATAAAAGTATTGCTGATAGATTAAATCAACTTTTTACTTCGGCTGGAAAAACAATGAATCAAAAAATCATAGCCTGCTCCTGAATGCCGTTACGATCCAGCTGCAGACCTGCAACCCAGAATTTCCAAGTGCAGAGCAATTTATTGATTTGTATGGTTGCTTTAATTGAGTGTGGGATAACTTGCTTAATTTTTTTATTTTGAATTGTTAGTAATAATAACAACAATAAAGGACTTGGAGAACTGTCGAGTTATTCTAGTACATGTAGGCTTGTTTATAGCCTATGTGAGATTAAAGAAATCACAGAAATCATGAAGCACTTTTGCCTCCTTTTCATCTGGTTGAGGCATATTGCAATAGAAATCAGCAAGAATAAAAATAGGAATATTTTTTAAATGTCATTGCTAGAGGAGCGAGAAACTCAAAAAAATAAATCTATAGGACATGCAGACAACAAATGATTTAAAGTTTCGAACTTGTATTTTAAGCCGTAGCTGGGGAAACCTGTGGGCAGATACATGCAGCGTATGCACGACAACTCCTTGACTCTAGTGCACCTCCTCCAGGTGTATGAACTTGGTCTGTCTGTGCAGTATAACTGATGTCACGCATTCCGCATTCCAGTTAAACTGCAGATACCTAACCCTATATCAAATTACAGCTTATTTAATGGCTACACTGCTGATCTTTCTGCAATTATTTTAATTGATGCAATTGCTCAAATCAGCGTTTAAAAGATAACAAATCAAAGCAATCTTTGTTTTCACCAATTTGATTTTTTCTTGTCTCTAAAGTCATTAAGCCCTAAAACAAAAAAACGTGTCAGATTTGTCAATATTTTTGGATTACAATGAAAAGTTACAGAACAAGAATTATTTTTAAAAACAACAAACACATTTAATGGAACTCAAATGTGAGGTAACATCCCTTAAAATATTAGCATTAGAAGGTTGATTCAGACAGTCACAGTAATTAACTGAAAAGCCATAAAAAAAATCAATAGTGAAGTTTCAAGAAAATTGTTGGTTTAATACAATAATGTAAGATATATTAGCCAGTTCAATATGCTTTAATTTGATACAGGGTTTAGGTACTGTCATACTGTCCAACCTTTTGAGTACATGTAAGTAAAATCAGGATATTTTTATAACCAAGGTTTCAGGTGAGTGCTGAAGGGGAGAGCCGCCAGAGGAGATCTGAGGCCATGCTCCTCCAGAAAAATTTGAAATCTTGATCTGCTGAAATGCCATTTCTAGTGTTCTGAGAGGACAATTTTTGACTAAAATGTTCACTACATTGATTGTCATTTATATGCTTATTTTTATTCACAATGCTTTCCGTACAAGTACTCCAACTAATTTTATTTTTTGTTGGGTTTATAAAGTTTTCTGCATATCAGTTTCAGTTATAAGTAAGTTAGTATACTCTGTTATATTGTGTCCCTGTATAATTATCATAAGAATTCATTCGAAAAAATCAAAACAGATGTCAAAATCGGGATTCTTCCTATCCTGATCGCATGTTGGTCTGAATTCAGGATTTTCAAGCAAAACCGGGAGAATCCCGGCGAAATCGGAATGGTTGGACAGTCTGTACTGTCAACGGACATGGCAACTCCTGGAGATCTAAAACCTGGAGGCTCTCTCATTTTCACCAACCCTACCCACCCTCCTCCCAACCAATTGACCCAGCCCCCAATGGGAATGCAGCGATCATACAAAAAATTGCAACCACTTTTCAAGAACTTTTCAAGGACTACATTAGATTTTCAAGGACAACTTACTAGGAATATAATTTCACAAACTGTACAAAAATTCACATTCCGAGTCCATTCTAATAAGACTTTAAGGCTTTAACTGTTTGCTTCACCAACTTCTCTACATTTTTCAGTTCACTTGTCGTAAATTGATAGTTAATTATTGCACAAAAAATAGAGCAGTCTTGTAAATAACTTTTAAATTCTCTGAGCTATGATTTATATTCTGTCTAGGACAACCAAAAAACATCAAAAAACTCTTTCCAGGCTACTACATTCACAGTTGAAGAAATTCAAGGACTTTTCAAGGACTTCCCCTAGAATTCAAGGACTTTCCAAGACGGTGCAAACCCTGGAATGGCTCAGGACATTATATGAAGTCTTACAAGACGAACATACTATCAAAAATCACAATCATCTTTTCGATGATTTTATCTGAGAGACATGGTGACCTGTATGGAAGAGCGGGAGATCCACGGTGTCATATCTGGGAGAGTTGGCCTGTATGCGTAAATGACCGTAAATGATCTAATAGATCGCCCAGGGTGTTTTTTTAATTTTGGGGGTTCATGAGGCAGAATCTAAAAGATAGGAGGTGTTTAAAAGTGAGACCTGTTTATTCCCATAACTGTAACAAGCTCAACAAAACTAACTGAAGCTTTAAGCAACAATAATTATCAAGAAAGTTTAGAAATAGTGGAAGATCCATTTTGTCAATCAATATGTCTGTCATGTCTTAGCCATCCAGAGAATCCAGTGTCAAAATTGATGTCAGAATTCTTACTCAGGGTCACTGTGCTGCTAATGACTTGTTGGTTTATTCTTAATTTGAACTTGACACTGCACAAGATACAATTAATCAACCAAGAAACTGAATAAATTGAATGATTTGCTCCTTTTTGCTAATTCCTGACCTATCCAATCGAACAGTTCGGCAATCGAACACCAATCGTTCGATTGCTGAACTCAATCAAACGTAATCAAATTCACAATAAAATTTTGCCAATCGAACACAATCGAATGTTCGATTACCAAAAAAATTGGTAATCGAACCCAATCGAACGTTCGATTACCGAACGATTGGTATAATCAAACGTTCAATTAACGGACGCCGCATCACATGATAGGCATGTGGTATTGGAAAATTCCGAAGGTGAAAGTGAAATCACCGCTAACTCCCTTCCCTTTTTACGCGGCTTTTGCTGAGCACTTAAACCCAGGACTGAAATGTCTGAAATGTCAAACACGGAGGAGAGGGAGGACACTGCATGTATTGAAATTACATGCAGTGTAAAAGGTTACCAAGAATGTAATTTTACTGTTGATGTGGGAGAAGAATTCTTTATCTTTAAGAAGATTAAGAGATTAAGATTTAAGAGAACCTGGAGAGAGTAATGGCTGCAGCGAGGTCCCTTCTGCTTATTATAATACTAATTTTAAACACAACTGCCTGTGTTGCTGTTGTTGAAATGGTGCGATTTTTCTCTGTTGAGAAGCATTTCCTTTTAACAGTCACAGTACCTTAACAGTCATCGAAATTGCCTTTTATTTGTTTTGTTTTGTTCGAACATTGACATTCTTGCAGTATGATGTTCAGTTCCTGTTTATTCAAAAAAAGCTGACAATGATTATATTCCACGTGTTTTACTCAGTTTGAGGCGTCAAGAGACAATTGCATTGGATTAGTTCGATTTTGCTCGATTTTGTTCGATTATATTGGTTCGATTGGTTCGAAAATCGAACTCACAGCAAAATAGGTGTTCGATTTTGTTCGATTGCCCAACCCAATCGAACGATTGGAGTTCGATTGGGTTCGATTGGTTTTTTTGTTCGGTTTTGTTCGATTGGATAGGTCGGGCTAATTCCTCACAGGCCCCTGAAGATATCCTGTGAATAATTTATTATTAAGCTATGGATAAAGCACTGAAATTCATAAATTGTAGGCCCCTAAATTACTCTTGCTGCGTTACAGCAGTTTCGAACGATTATGAGATCTAGAAGATGCAAAATAATATTATGAGATATGTCACTGTCGAGAACCTTCCAAGACCAACAACAAAAAGAAAATGGTCATCCTCGGCAACAAAGGCAACTCCCAGCTGTCATGATTGGAAGAGGGAAGTCGGACATAAAAAATTCACTTCAGCACTTTCTCAAATAAAAGGCCATCAACACAGAGACTTGAACCTAACAATACCCAAAACGGTCTGATCTGAATTTGAGGTGATCATGGCCACCACGCTATGCCAATACAACTACGAGACAAGTATTGCTGTTTTAACTAGGTCCACCCTCACACAGGGAATCTATAATAAAAGATGTTTCATAGGTTACGTTCTACAGTTCAGCTTACCTTTCTTGAATTTAGAAAATACTTCAACCGCTACCTCTACATCATGAATAGTCTCCCAGAGATGTAAAATGAACTCCGCTGCATAGACCGCAAAACAGGTTGATTGTGTGATCACCGTATTTGGATCAGAACCAAATACGTCATTGGTGACGCAAATTTTTGAAACAACACAGTCACGCGATTCACGGTCCTCTACTCGAGCGGGTGGAATTTCAGTGAAACTTCGATTTTCTGTAAGTATGGTCCAGTGAAGCTATATGTAACCACATAATGAGATACGCCCTCGTAACTGATAATACTTGCTAGAATAACATTCCTCTCACAGATAGGCGGTGGAATTTTACAGAAGAAGTGAAAACTGTACTTCCTGAATATGTCCGTTATGACGAAAAAAAAATTCTTTATAGTCATAGAATTTTGAATTGATAAAACATTACTGGTTAAAGCATTTCCATATCATTCTCAACACCACCTGGAGCTGATCAAATAAGCTCATATTTACCTGTTTACGGGAATGTTTATTTTTAAACCCACCAATGTGGTGTTAGTGGTCGGTTTATGTCGGCCCCAGCAGGCAATCTCGCTGCAATCGTCTCACTTGTGCCTCTGAGGACTCGTTGTGATAGCCTTTTCAGCTGGAGGAAAGGACTGTAGCCTGAGTATTCGGTGTTTCTGTGAGAAATGAAGAGAGAACTGAAAAGGATGAGAGCGAAACGAAAACAAAAAGCTTTTCTGTCTCAATATTGATTCTCTATTCCCACTAGCCTCCCACGCGGGGGTTCGTCACGCGTTGCTGCCCCCTGCCCCTCCTCGAACCCCTTAGAACGTCCGCGTGGGAGGCTATATTCCCACTACCCCGCTCCGTCATCTAACATTTCCTCTCTTCCCACCCCTAAGGTAGGCCTGATACTCAGGTTAAAAGGACAAGGAAGAAAATTCATTTTGACGAGAGAAGGTCTTGTAATGTCCTGAAGAAGTCGGTTTCTGAGCTCATAGGAACTGGTTTTCTAGTTTGGAGATTCTTCAGGAGCAAGACGTCCATGAAGATCAGCTGAAATACATAAAACTGAAAGAAAAGCAAGATTTCAAATACCATGAAACCTTTTTATGGCTAATATCAATTTGCATTTTTGACGCTTGTGGTTAAATTTTAGGCCGCAGTTTGACGGCAGCCGGTTATAATCCCACTGAGACCCCCTTTTAATATACTAATGCTACATGTAGTATGGCAAGAAGACTTCCTGTAAGTACGTATGCGAAAAGGCACCATTATTTTTCAGTGATAGGAAAAAGGTGTAAGGAGAGATTTTCCATGAATTCTTTATTTGCCTCGAATTTCGTATATAGCTTTCAAATGTTCGCTTTGACGTTTTTTTCAGCAATTCATACTGAATTTGCATAAATAAGTTTTAGCTCCGCAAAAAGGTTCGTGCCATTTTTATTATCCTTTGTTTCATTTGCTTTGTGTTCGCTAGGTAATAATCATAGAAAAGCCAGCAGTGTTCCTTAACAAACAAAACTAATTGCTCGTTCTCTTTTCAATTATATACATTTTACGTCAATGTTGACTCTTGAAAGAATATTTAATTTCTTAATAATGGTTTATTTGACTTTAGTCTATTTTTCGTGATTTTACTACCGGGCGACATTTATTCATAGAAACGCCTTTCGTGCAGGTGCATCTCGTTTTAACTGCAACTTAAGTTATATTTATTTGCGAAAATATATTTCATTAAGTTGTTCGTTAAAGAGAGGTCTGAATAACCGAATTTTGAATATGAAAGGTTTTGCGGTCTTGCAATTTTAAAATTAGATCGGTTTTTGTTTAAGGTGAAAACTTCCAATTAGTCTGCGCTTCTTCTGTTTAAACAGCCGATAGCTGAACTTGCAATTTAATTCATTTTGTAACACTTTGTACATAAACGCTGTTTTGCTGACCTGGCTAGGACTTTGTCTCAGTACAGTTTTACTTTCTAAAATAGCAACAGTAACAAAAGATTTCAGGTTAAAAATAGAATTTGTATTTAGTTTTCATTTAACTCTAAGTGATTTCTTTTTATATTTCTATTGTATTCTTTTGTCTTCAATGGTTGTAAAAATCATATATAAGTAAGTTAGTCTTTACTGATTGCCGATTATTTCGCCGTGTCCTAGCCGAGTTATTGCTGTTTGATCCGCTGAAGAATAAACGCTGTTGGAACCAAGTTTAGTTCTGTTTTATCTACTGCTGTCCCAGTTAGTGGTCAGATCCCGGTCCTACAGAGAAGTGACGGCTCTTCCCCGCAAGCGAGTTGCCATTTAAGTCTAGTTTTCCCCAGTTTTATCGTGAGTCAAGCACCGAGTTCCCGTTGAGCTTTAAATTCGTTTCAAAGTGGAAAAACCTTTCGTCACAAAGGGGATCCTAATCTGTCAAAAATGGTATATAAAGGGGTAAGGGGTTGGATCTCGGGGCGGAGCTTACCCGCATAAAACTTTGAGGAGTAGGCTGCTCCGTCCCCTGGGAGAGGGCTTCTTGCTACGTGTAAGCAGGGTTTCATGCCGGAGTTTTCATTGTCTTCGCAGCTTCACTCTTTCCTTCTCGCTCCACGACAACAAAGCCCTTGCTGGTACAGTTTATGAATCACTGAAATTTGTCCATACAAAAGGTAGGCAAATCCTGTTTTCCAACAACACAACCAAACCAATAAACAAAACAGCTTTCATCCCCAGTTTTTCTTTACTGAATACAACTGAACGTACTACAGTCATCTAAAACCATTCAATTGTCGTTTCTTTATAGGGGTAACTGTAGGCCATTTATAAGTGCTTACCATGCGGTCAATCTGCCTTCTTTTCCTTCAAGCTGTGTTCATTGGTTTTGCCCGACACACCAAAGTAACTGCGAAGAGGCATTGCCCCAAGTTTACTTCTTGTATTGACAGCTATGCTGACATTTATAAATCCCTAGCATCAGAGGAGAACAGTTTCAACATTGAATCTGCGCTTTATCCAGCAATGACGCCATCATCACTTGTAGTTAAAGTAGAGTTCATTACACACAATGAAACATCAGTGGCAAATTACACTTGGAGTTTAAACTGTTTATATGTTGCTATTCCTCCTCAAGTCCTACAACTCTTGTCGCTTGGCTCAGTTCTTGTTACACCGCGCACACAAGAGCTGAAAGTCTGCATCCCCCATTTCTGTAGAAATATTGCATCGACCAAGGAGCAGAAAGACCTCATGACAGGTGTTCTCTCTGCGGTACGCAACTGTATGCTTACTATTCCGTTATAGTTTACACTAATTACAGAAGTTACAGAGAAACCGAGATTACACAATTAAAAGGGGATTAATCAAAGTCATAAAGAATCCATACTCTTACACAAAATTCTTACATTTTAGGAGCCAACACCAAGAGGAATTCTTGTTGGAGCAAGAATTTATCAAATCCAGTCTTGTAAAAGCTTTAAAAAGGCAGAGACGTAGATTTTATGTCGCATTTCGGAAGTGTCAATCAAGTTTTGACACTTTTTTTTTCAATTTAAGAAAAGAGTCGTGTAACTCCTTTATTACAAAATGATAACCAAATCTATGAATCACCTTGTTCAGTCATTAAAATGAAAATAAGGGTGTTTTCTGCAGAGTATCAGAGTTGCTATAGAAACCACTAAGGTCTAGACTGACCATAATTTGTTCTCCAATTTTAAACTGGGTGTTGAATATTTTATTGTTGCATTAACTGGTAAAAAAAGTGGCAATATGTATTGTGTGTTTGTTCAACCAGTTGGGTCTCTATCGTATTATACAAATATTGATCATATTAAACATATTTCTTTTTCACAGCTTCAAGATCTGGGCGTGAGTCCAGGAGTACGGGATCCAAGACTTAACACAGTAGATTGCGTTATAGAGGGACATGAAACAGACATAATGGCTACAGGACAGAGTTCGTACATAAGAGCAATTTTATGGTGCGCTTTTATTTTTTCATTCTGGGCTGGTCCTTATTTAGCGGAAATTATTTTAGGTGTGATAGAACAGAGATCCCAAGGTAACCAAAGTCCAACTGCAACCTCATCCGCCGGGACGGGGCAAGTTGAAGTTGCTATAGAACTCCTTGATCCCCAGGCTCCCACTTCCCCGGGCCCGGGAGAAAATATTTCGGAGCCCCTGATAAGGGCAGTAGTTTGCGTATGTTGTTTATTGCTTTGTGTAGAACTTATAATATTAGTCTTTATATTCAAATTTTCTGTATCAGGAAATGCCCCAATTGATGTTTACATATATATTGGGATCCTTATTTTGGAAGGTGTGATATTAACTTGCATAAAAAAATGCCCTTCGAAAAGAGTGTTTATATCAACATTTTGTCTAATCTTTACATCGCATCATTTTTGTTGGCTGGTGATCGGCATTATGATTAATCCAGTGTGGGGACTAACGGTTTTACTCCTAGCTTGCTTTTCTGTCATCTTGTTAACTTTCCTACTCTGCCAAATTTTTTGGGGAGGCAATTTCAAATGCAGCCGAGACGACATCATGCAAATCATTGTATGTGGTGTTACCTTTTGCGGTGGTCTCTCGCTTGTTGCGTCAGCAGTTTTAGCGGGACAGTCGTTTTATGGAAGGGGGACTGCGGACGAGCTGGTGAAAACCGTATTGTTGTCTGTTATCAGCCTTGGTACTTCACTGTTGTCTTGGCTGAGTAAAAAACGTTAGAAAAAAGAGGAAAATGCTGCCCAATAACTCTAAAACATAAAAAAAGGAGTATTTCCAAGCAGATAGCGCCGTCCGTTTTGCCAGCCTGGGAGCAAGCTTTCCATTTGCCATTGGATGATCTGAGTCGTGAAAATTCACGCGCGGCTTCGCGGCTCGCTTCGCTTGTTACAAATGGAGAGCTTATTCGATTCGGGGCTTCCGTTCTGCGCATCTTGAGTAGCCCTAGGAAACTCGGATATTTAGATGATGCCTCCTCTTTTTATAAAGCATGTTCACTCAGCAAGAAGCAAAGATTAATGACATCTAAACACAGTCGAAACCTCCGTAAGCGACAAACCAAAGCGCAAACCTTCACCGAAGGGTCTCTTCAAGGAATAGGTACCGAACACTTCAGAGACAATTTATCGAATACAATATTTTGGAAGTTACAATCCGTACTGAGTACCATTCTGTCACTTACTCTAGTTAGTGATAGTAACATCAACTGCGAAAACATAGATCGAACCTCTTGACAAGCGGTTACTAGCGATAAAAAGCAATGGATCTGTCCCGGTCGTTTACAAGAGGTACCAAGTATAAAGCTTTAAAAACGAAAATTTTGGTGTTTTGTGGTCGTTTACAGAGGGGTAACGGCGAACTGTTTAGAGATAACTTACTTGAATCTTTTTCAGTTTATGGCGGCTTCAACCTAACAAGTTGATGGAAAAAAGGCTTGTTAAATAACTTTATTTGAGCAGTCTTACTTCAATAACCTGTCTTATTTACGAAGCAATAACTTACTGCAACAGAGCTTGTTTCTATTCGATCACTGTATAGATCTGAATAAGAACGGGCAATTATTGTAAAATGGCTTATAACCTTGTTTAGAGGGTAAATTTTGGAGTTAATCATAAAAATTTTCAGCGTTTTTTCTTATATTGTCTTTATTAGTTTGTCAGGTGGAGATCCAAACTGGTTTTCACCGAGACAACAAACGTACAATTAAACGTTTTATACAATACTTGTGAAAATAACAGACACTTTCAGAAGTTGAAATTTTCAGAGTTTTCAACCTTTTTAAGGGAGTGTGCATTAGAACTGTGTGCATATAGAACTGCATGTCTATAACTGCATGTTATAGACACCTTGACAGTTTCTTAATGTGATTAATAGTTTGTATTAGTTCGTAGAAGGAAAATAAAGGTTATCCTTTATTTGAGTTGGTTCTTTGAACTTAATTTAATTTCACTTAAACTGCCAGGTATACATGCCTGTAGGTTGCAGAGACAAACCGAATGACTTCATTACTGACTTCCTGATTGACTTAACAACGATCGACTCGGTGCCACTGTCAACGTTTCTGTGAAATGTTGGGCGCTCGGGGGGGGGGGTTAGTCAAACAGATTTCATACGGGGAGGCTCCCCCCCAAAGTCTAACCCCTTACCGTTTTCTACACCATTTTTGACAGACAAGGCTTTGGAAACCGTTTATTGACAAAATGATACATCTCTTACATACCTAGTAACGAGTACCTACTACCTAGACCGCAATCACAGATTTCCCTCACCTTTCATATACTTCAATTAGTGAAATCCCTACCCTTTATTATGTTTGAATTTTACTACTAGTGATGACCCACCCCAATCTCGACAGTCGCGTATTCCCAGGGAGCATTGCGTTACTCTGGCCCGAGTGACTGCGAAAGAGACTACATGGTTCCCGGCTCAAAAGCTGAGACTGCGACCTGGGGAGAATGGAACAGCATGAAAGAGTTGCCCTTATTTTCCATTATTTTGTGGTCGAAACATTCCTAAGGTAGTCTCTAGTTTAATTGGTACTGAGAAGAATAGTTTTCTCGGTCGCTTGTAAGTATAAAGGCTTACTAAAGTAAAACATCACTAAATCAGAGCTGGAAAAATAAACCTGGTTTCCCGGGGCTTGTCTTGTTGTCGTGTTCGAGGCCACTTCTTACTCGTCTTAGTTAATAATTTGTCAAAGGATGACTTGTCTGGACTCCTGCCCCCTGAGTAAGTATTTCCTGGTCCGGGGGGTCCTGACCCCCTTATAAGACCTGACTCTTGTTTGCGACTGAAATTCTTACATCGACAGGATCGTATATCACTTTTTAACTGGCTGATTTTTTTTAATGAAACGAGCGTTGCATTTTGCCGGCCTATAATTGGTTGTACCCTTCCTGTTAATGCTGCCGAAGATGAGCATTCATTCTTTGGCTTGCGATGAATCAAGTCATATCTCAGATGACCGGTTGTCAGGACTTGGACCCATGCACTTACATCATGATCTTAACATTGATGTTAACGAAATCTGTACAAACTTTTTTACCAAGCACAAGTGGAGGATGTTTCAAGGGTGCATCCTTTACGAGTAGAACTCAAAGTTTGGACCCCCCCGCCCCCTTCCCCCCAATCAAAAATTCCTGGATCCGCCCATGGTAAGTAAGCTTTACAACTAATTACTAGCCTAGCAAGGAAATCTACTTGTCCCGGACTACTGGAAGGCACTTTTTTCGAGCCCTGATTTGCGTTGACTCTCTGAACACACCAACAAGATACACTTTTATCGCCAAAGATCGATTTATTCTCTTTATATTCTCCTGTCAATGAAAACTAAGGAACATGTAGGAATGAGTAGCGTGCTCACAGGTCTCACAGCAATCTATGAATTATTTATTTCCCTCCTCCATGTCTTCAACACGGTACTTGTCATGAAGACGCTGGAAAGCTGTGTCCTTGTTTGATTTTCGGTTTAACACGTTCCTTCGACCACTGACCTGTTGGCTAAGTAAAGAAATGGAGTTCACTTTCAGAAAGTATTTGAGCTGGGGATGTGTGAATTAGACTTTAGAGGAGTAGTGGAATTTCATTTCGAAACTGGACGCGAGCCTGTTGGTTGCATTGTTGGTTGTTTGACTACGGGGATAAGTATTAAGATTAAAAAGTCCTTAACTTGAACATATATTAATATCTTAATTGAATATATTTACATCAATCTTGCCTGCGCTCCTATGCTAAGTGATGGAGAAATATGGTGGCCAACGTACGAATAATACTTTCCGAGATATCGCACTTGTACCAACAGGAAGACAACACCCCACACACCCAAACTCAAAACCCCCAGCCTGAATACCCACACTAAAGAAAACGCTCGACAGAGTCAGGAAACAAAATTGCCGCGAAACAACTTCTGCTCTGGAGCCACAATACATATTAACAAGACCAATGAGCAATAAATCTAGCACAAATGGTCCCCATAACTAAATAACGCTCGACAGAGACAGGTAACAAAAATTCCTTTGGAAACGACTTCTGCAGAAGCCACAATTCCCAAAATAAATTGTAAACAAGACCTGGCCGTAATAAAGTTTATAGAAATTAAACCCCTGGTTCTAACACGCTCGACAGAGTCAGGTAACAAAATTTGCCGTAAAACAACTTCTGCTCCATCTGGAGCCAAAAAACTCAGTGTAAACGAAACCAGGGCGTGAAAGTTTCAGCGAAATTAAGCCCCTGGTTGTAACACACGCTCAGCAGAGTCAGGTAACAAAAATTGGCCGTAAAAACAACTTCTGCTCTGGAACCACAAAACACATTTATTTAGAACAAAAGCCTGTGGGTTTTGCTAAAAACAACAACGAAAGCATAAGCCAAACAATAGCTCAGACATGAGAATGCAGCAACTTATAATAACAAGCACCTTAAAAAACCCAACGGGGAATAGCAGCATGCTAGTAAATCAAATTCATGCACTGACTTTGCAGGAATATACTAGGAAGCACGAATACTCTAAACAGCATAGGACAAAATAGGCATATGAAACGGAAAAACTGAAAAGCCCGCATGCGGAAATAAGAAACCGCGGACAAGAACTGAACAAGAACTGACTGCTGCTACCCCACAGCTAGAACCGCTCAATGGGATTGGAGAAAAACCGAAGCCAGGGAATGTGCCACTCACAGGATCCATCAGAAGGAAATGCTTAAGCTAGGGAATGGTTTACGCCGGTTTCCAGTGGGTAAAGCAATTGGTTTCTCCAATACTTATCCACTAGATAGTGCTTTATTCGAATCGAGCACTTACTTTGTGAAATTAACAAGAGCTCTTTTAGTTATTTTATGTAATTAATGTAATACTGTATATTGTTTAGGAGCGGGAGTCATTGGGACGACCCACACATCCCCGCATGTAAAAAGGATAGTAATTACAGTGGAACCCCGCTCTACGAACACCCGCTTAATACGGACACCTGCTTTATACGGACACTTTCGTTTGTCCCGATAAAAAGCTCATATATTTTCTCTAAAATCAACCCGCTTTACACGGACACCAGTTAAAGGGACTGTGTAAATACCCACGGCAAAACCAAAGCTATTTTGTTTTTGCTGTGAACTATTTGGTTTTGCAATACAATACAATACAATAACTTTATTTAAAGAGGGAAGCGCAATAACCTTTTACAGTTTTCTAACCTACGGTCCTCAAAAAAATAGATAAATAGATAAATAAATTTAGAAGACTAAAAACAAATAAATTTATAAATATATATATATATGCACAAAAGAGACATTATTTAAAGTAGAATAGGCTATAAACACGTAATGAATAATATATAAATCGACGAAGGGGGGCAAAATATGTACTATAAATGAACATGTACACATATATACATAAATATAAATTAAAAGACGTAATAGTGGTTGTAGTAGGACTATGAAAAACAGTGACAATGAATAGAATAGCGGCAAGTCGAGCACAGTAGATCCTCCAAATGCTCGGCCGATGATAGGCGTGAGAAAAACAGACTTCGTAATTTAGACTTAAGAGAGGAGGGAAGAAATTTAAATATCAGTGGAGAAGAAGAAATAGAAAACTCTTTTAAGTCGGAACTGAGGTCATTAAAAAGTTTAGTAGCAGTATAGGCCAAGGTGCGTTTCCCAGAGTTGCTATGTGGGCATGGCACCTTTAAGTCATAGAGAGAGGCTCTTGTAAAACGGGCCAGAGGT